AGAGGTGTGCAAAGCCATTGTGCTTCGAAAAGAAACAGATGCAGACCTGTCCAAGTCAGAGATGCGGGAGCATCCTGAGGCTCCCGGGTCAGGCTGGGAGCCCGCGCTGATTGTGCGGCTGGAGCATGTGCACACACAGCGCCTGGGCGTCAGGCATCATGCAGTTCTTGGTCCTTGTGGAGGACGAGGTCACCGACGAGAACACCAACACAATCTCCGAGGTCTTCCGCATGAACGAAGATTTCAATCAGCCGAGCAGCGCAAGCAGTGAAAGTACGGACTCGTCATCTGAATCCAATGATGAGGCCCGGCCGGGGCTTTAATTGCAATCCCAACGGCCCAAAACAATAGGTGTCCGAAAGTATGTTGTTTGGGGTGGGCAAACCCCCAGTTTGGGACACCTAAAAAGAGTGGTTTTCAAGACACGGACCAAAACAGCAGGTGTCCGAAAGTATGTGGTTTGGGGTGGGCAAACCCCCAGTTTGGGACACCTAAAAAGAGTGGTTTTCAAGATACAGCCCAAAACAATAGGTGTCCGAAAGTATGTGGTTTGGGGTGGGCAAACCCCCGGTTTGGGACACCTAAGCAAAAAGTAGTTTTCATTTTGTTTCAATCCGGCCAAAAGGATAGTGGGAGGGGGGGAGGGGGGGAGGGGGGGGGGAAGAGCTCATTCTAGATTCTAGTGAAAACTCAACTGACTGAGATTGCCCTGCAATTAAAATTGTGTTTTCGACACCGTGGCCCGGCTTCCCAGGGCTCATCGATGGCTTCTCAAATGCGATTTTGCAAAGCGGCCTACAAGGACCCTGCACACGCAGTTCACAATTAGTCAGCAGGATCCATGGAACTGATACCCTATACGGCTGTTCCAAAAGAATTGGTTCAGATTTTCTCAAAAGTCAACAATGCCCCTACCTGCTTGGCCCTGAAACCCTTTATTCAGCACGCCGTCCCATCATTCGTGCGGAGTTTGGTGTTTCTCCATTTTGGTCTCCCGTTCAATCCACCCAGTAACGTATACTACGTGACTCGAGCTCGAAACAAAGCTGTTGCAATTTCAAGTTGGGGTTTCATCTTGAAAACCATATGCCCTCCCGTTCAGATTGCCCTCGACCATTTAGAAACCCGTTCCATCCCCTTCGTCCCTGTGACCAGGAAGCTGGGCCGCGCCTAAGTTCGAAGTCAGCGAGGTTGGGCAGCTTCAAGCCTGGCAACAGCGCTCGGGACTTTGTTCGAACCGTGGGCCTGCCTTTGGAAGCATGGCTGCACTGAACAAGCGCTGCATTTTGCAGTCAGACCTTACCCCCTTATATAGATTTTGAAGAGCCATTTCGCAAACCCAAATAGATCTTTCCTGCGACCTTTTTGGAGTAGGGTTGGCTGCTATCTCAGGAACCAGTGATTGTCAAAACACCGTTGCGATTGAAGGATCTAAGTGATGATGAATATTTGGCCGATGTGCCAGTACTTCTGCCACACCAGATTTTGCAGCACTTGTTTAATGACATCAAGCTTGAACTGCCTGAAGCACAAGTTCAAGAATACTGGACACATACCAGAACTTTCATGGAGTGGGCCAGGGCACATCCTTCTGACGGGTCACACGTGCCGCTTGGGCTCTACGGAGACGAGGCCCGCTGCGGGGAAACAAATGACTCTAAGCTGCTCGGCCTATGGCTAAACATGCCGCTATTCAAGCCTTCCTCCAATAGATGCTCGCGCTGGCTTATGTGCGCGCTGGAATCGAGAACTTCTTTCGGGCCACGAAGTTTGTATCCAATTTTGCAAGAAATAGTGAAGAGCATCAATGCGCTTTTCGAAGGTCATGACCCGCAAGGTAATGACTTGGGGATTGGCAGGCGCTTTGCAGTAACAGAGCTACGAGGGGACTGGGAATACTTCTACACCACCTTCAGACTGACAAGGTATTGGAAAACCAACCAAATCTGCTGGCGATGTAACACTGAGGGAAAGTTCGGAACTGCCTTGCCATACTGGAAAATCACGGATCCGCCCAATTGGTGGAATGAGCGTTTGTCCTACACTCAGTTCCTTGCGCGTGTACTTCCACAAGACGGGCTGCAATGAGACTCGGCCCAATATAGCTTGCTTCTGCGCTAAATCAGCAAATTATCAGCACGCGTGCATGACCACTAGTCGAGCCTTAAGGCCCGTATATTCTCATCAAGGGCATGCACCACACGATGCTTCGGCACTGCAGCCTACACAACGTGAACCTTGGCCTGCTCTATACGTCAAATGGATCCTCATTGTGTCTGCTATGCCGCATTGGTGTCTTTGGACCACCACGCCTTGGTTTCCGCAAACAGCTGATAGCAGCGTATAGAGACTTCAAAGCTTGGACTGCCTTGAATCGCATTGCATGCAGCCAGTCGGCTTTCTACCCTCGTTTGGCCGGCTGGCTGCACTAGAGCGCGTGCGACAACAGGTAAGCGTAAGTGCAAGTGTGATAGATGTTCCAAGGTCTACAAGGCCCAGAATGGGGCATATATGACGTGCCGCGGCTACAACGGTCGTGTGGTATGCGTCTGGCTCCAGTCAGTCTTGGAGATGGTGGTTTCGAAGCGCGCTGAACCTGGAAGGATTGCCTGCAGCTGGTTGAAAACACAAGTGGATGCAGGTGAAATGGACTGGCCAGATCATATCTTGCTTAACCCAACCTTTGTTGCAGTGAGCCTTGGCTTACAAATCAACACACGTACGTGCGTGCGTTTTTGAATGTGTAGTTCGTCTCTGTCTGTTGTCTCTGTTTTCTCTGTCTCTGTGTCTTTCTGGCTATATCTCGTTGCATGTTTTTGTGTGGCTTGTCTGTTTACTATTATCGGCCTAGGGGTTAGTGAGCGCCCCTGCCCGCCACGCCTTCAGGACAGCGATCTCGCAGTGGTTCCACCGAGTGGAGACGGCGGGAAGGTACCTGTGGCTTGGCGGCTCAGGTGGTCCCCCTAAAAGCCAAGTTCCAATTCCAGTTGATCATGAGGATGTTTTTCCATTGAGAGGGAACCATGTGACATCACTCAAAGATATTGCGCCGTTGAAAGGCTCTCAAATTCAAATTGTCCGCTCTAAGGTCAGAGGAACAAGCAGAAGGGATCTACGCCGTTGGCAAAAAATTCCTGTCGACGCACATGCTGCTCACAAGGTTGAGTCAGAGGCGCCGATAAGATTGAATTAGCACCCTTGTGTTGAATCTCACTGGTCAGGTCCGGGCTGGTTTATTGGTTGTGCAAGCCAAAAGTGCACGTGCCTTGGCTAGAAGTTTGACATCCGCAATATGTGCGTGTGTGCTTGCAGACTTGTAGCTGCTTCCCATGAGAACTAAGATGTTTGAACATCAATGCGAAGACACGCGGCTCTGCCGCCCCTTTCCTTATATTCAGCATGATGCACGCGCCGTGATTTGATTTGAGCCGTCTGCTGATTCGCTTAGGCTACAATGTTAGATATGAACATTGCTTCAACGATGAGGATGGGATGAGATGGATGAAATCCGTGAGCCGGCAATGCTCCAAACGATCTTTGTTGCGAGGGCTCATGAAAATGGCTCGCATACGTTTGCTGTCGATGCGGAATCGCATCAAGGCACTTAACAAGAGCAGCCAGGAGCGCGCAGCCCGAAGGTGAAAAACCTGGAAGGGCGCACTGAATGATCTCGAAGATCTCGTTGCTGTCGCGCTGCAGCTGTGTGTGTGTGTGTGCGCGTGCCAGGTTTCAATTGCCCCATCCTCAAGAGTTGAGACGGGTAGGTTCTGAGTTTACTTAGGCGACCAAACGTTACTAGTAGGTTCTCACTTTACTTCAGGGGCTACAGAAAACTTAGTCTCTGGATCCGCTGGGTGAAAGTAAAGCGAACTCTGAAACCGAGTTTCGGACCCTGGGCTTGGGGCAGAGTTCGGGCGAAAGTGGAGCGAAAAGGAAAAGGAGTTGGAGCCCTTTGGGCCAGAGGTTTTGTTTTTGTGGTTCCTTCTAAGGAGATACTGAACGACCCCTTGTTACCCCCCAAAAGCCATCCTCGTGAGGTACTTGGACTCCCTCTGAGAAAGGGTGTTGCGCAAGCAATAGTGGCAAAAATTGGGGGTGCAGCGCATGCCCTGAGCAACGAGAAGTCAAGACGACGCACAAAATGGCATCAAGCCAGGCGGGGGTGAAGGCAGTTAGGATCCAATGTCCCATAAGCCTCAACAATGCTGCATTGGCTCATGAATTTGGGGATGAGGGAGGGTCGCCCGCCTGTTCTTTGTTTCGTGTGTGGTTGTTTCATGTGAGAGGCTGAACATCAGCAGAGTTAGGAGTTCCTTTCCCGTTGAAAGGTCTGACTGCCTGAGGACCATGCCATCAGAACTTGTCCCTTCGATCAAAATCTATCCGAACTCCTCCTTGGGGCCATGAGTTTCCGACATCAAACCTTGAACATACAATACCCCGCACCATGGCCGCCCGCCCAGTCTGCGGGTGCCAACTCGGGGTTCATGCATTCCAAGGCCAATAAGGTTTCCCTTCCTTCTCTTGGACATGACCTTTCCCGGATTTCCTTGGCCTTGGATTTGGAGCCTCCTCCAAACTCACATTTTGTTTCAAGGAGAGGCCAAATATGAAGCAGCATCTGAAAACATATGGGTGGCTCGTCTTCTTTTGAGGGTGTTCGGTCTTAAGGGAAACGAAAAGGAAAGCTAGTTTTGGGGAGTCCAACCCAAACTAGGTCCCCCGGTATTGCCCTTTTACCCTTTTTGGGGGTGTTGGGTTCCCCTACCGAAGTAGACTACAGAAACAAAAATCGGGTACCCTTATTCGAACCTCTCTACTGGAGGACCTAGCAGTGGGTGTGGTTGAGAAAAAGAAGAGGTACCTGGGTTTATTAATCCTGGGTCAACATTAAGGGAAACCAAGAGGAAAGCCAGTTTTGGGGACCAAAAAAAAGACGAGCCACCCATATTAGCAATTTTGGTTTACCCCGCGAGCCAAGTTGTTTTTTTCTCGCGGAGGACACAGACCTCGAGGCAGCCGCTCAGGACGGGCCCATGTGAAGTGAGGAAGTGGATGGCTGGTTTTCTTGACTGCTATTGGGTTAGATCTTTAGACTTTAACTTTTGGGAGATCAAGGGGTTTTCCACTAAACCCCCAAAAAGTTAAACTTTGTGCAGGGGGGTCAACAGCAACCAGGTTTTGGATGTACCAACCAAGATCATCTCACTTTCTGCCTTGATTGGCCAACAAAAAGATGTTCCACAGTTTTGTCCAAGCCACTGAAATGGTAACCAAACTGCCAAAGTGACGATCAAGTCCTTTCACGCAGCTTGCCGATGAAATGTCCGAACCGCGGCACTCAGGGAATAAGGCCATGGGTCGCACCCTTCTCCACAACAGTGTCCCCACTTTGTCACTTAGAGGTCCCTGGGCACCTGGTACATAGAAAGCAGCTCCAGCACCCATGCTGTAGGAGTCTACCATAGTCTACCCTTTCAACCTTTTGGTTGTCGCCTGGTCCGTTTTAGCCCGGTTCCAAAGGGTGAACCTTCTCTTTCTGGGTCCTTTGGGCAACTGGTTACTTGGCCAATTGCAAGGAAGCGCCATATTGCCGGAAAGGATTGCAGCGACTCCTGCGTAGTTGCACGAGGTTGCACGCCGGAATCGAGGTGTCCTTCTGGTTCCCCTTTGAACCAAAATGAAAAGGTACTACCCAGAGGGTCCAAGTACCTTCTAAGGATGTACTTAGACCCCTTTTTGACCCCCAAAAGCCATCCTCAGAGGGCACTTGGACCCTCTGGGCTAGTATCCTCAAAAAAGAAACACTTATCAAGCCTTGGTTAGTTGAAGTTTACCGGACCATCACAGCCATCAGGCGCTGCCGCCCTTATTCTGATTGCCGCTTGGTCGACTCCTCCCAGTCCTTTCATACCAAGGTTACTTTGTTCAAAGCCAACCTTTCGACCGTCAGGCTTCTCAGGTCTGCTGCATGTCGATACCCCAAAAGTGAACCTTTCAATGGTAAAATTTGGGTTCAACATCAAATCGCTGGTGCATATGCCAGATGAGTTTCGTAGTTTCCTTGTATTGCGCCCCACTACGGATTACGGATCCGGAAAGGCAGGATCCGGGACCCAAGCTGAAGAACCCTGAATTCTGGTCGTTCACTACCAGAACGGGTTGACCTTGTTGACCTTTCAGACACGGTCGCGGTTCTTGGATGGCTTTTGGTGTGTGTGGTGGGTGCGCATCCATGCGACAGCTCTCAAACATGGCGCTTATGATAAGCAGACCCATAGGCCCATAGGTGTCCTTTTTGGTTGTGTTGGCAGAAAAATAGTGGCGATCCCCGGTTTACCTGCTGGTTTAATCATCTACCAGGGAAATCCATCTATTTCCCACCTATGAGTAGACCTTGGTGCTAAGCAAAGTCAATGTTTGAAGATATTCCAAGCAACATGGAAGTGCGCAAAGCCCCCTTCCCAGAGACAGAGGAACATAGTCTTTCTACAGGGGTCTGTGCGCTTCCATGTTAGTCGGTGGGGGGTAAGTCAAACCACTAGGGCGCCCCACTTTTCCTGCTCTCCGCCGCATGGATTCTCAGTTTGCTTGCTTAGGACGATAGGAAGAGGAAGCCCACCCATTTGTTTTCACAAGTGTACACTGCATGCCTATAGTGGAATGTAGTTCATGGGGCAGACCTATTAGTATAGAAACTAACACAATCAAGAATATTGGCAATAACAATAGCAATGTTAAACATGTCAAGTATTCATTTGTTTGTACAATGTACATTTATATATATATATATATAATGGTCCGATGGTCCATGTTTTCCAACTCATTCCTCGTTTTGTCCATCCGCACCCCATGTTGCCAACTCAACTCCCCACGTGGAAAAACCGGGGCATGTGGCCCGGGGCAGAACCCCGCAGGAGGCTATGGAACTGGCGAGGACCGGCACGCTGGCCATGCGCAAGGCGAGTGGTTCGACGGGTTCGATGGATCTGGGCCTCACCCCAAATGGCTGTGGGTCAAAAACAGGTACCCCAAATCGAACCCTAGTAAGTGGAAACATGGACCAACACCTGCGGTCCCCTGGTGGTTTAATTTTGACCCATACCCAAATGGTGGTTTATGTTGGGAATAGACCCCCCAACCACCTTATTTCAGGCTGAAATATGACAATTCACCCGTTCGATCGATCCGAACGATCAGAAGGAGCTTCCCGGCGGGTGTGGTTGAGAAAAAGAAGAGGTGCCCGGACCTGTAGTTAGAGGGTTCTCACTTCTAGGGCGCAGAAAATTGGGGGTCTCTTCCAAAAAGATTTAGATGTTACGGACTTTCACTTGAACTCTGTTGCAAAAAGGTTAACGTTTTGCAAAGGGGTCAACAGCAACCAAGTTCAAACTAGCCTGAAGAAAAGGGGATATGGCTGAACAAAAATATGGGGCATCCCTTATTTTATGGTGAGTTAGAGGTTGCTACACTTCCAGGGGGCTGAAAAGTGGGGTCTCCGATGTTACGTACTCCTGCAAGTTTCTCAGTTGACCCATGCGAATCGACCTTTCGACCTGTTGGCCTTCCCGTTTTCTCAATTCAACGCCGAGCTTTCGACAACTGTTGGCTCTCCCTTTTCGGTCCATTGGACCCATCTGGAACTGAACTTTCCTCTCTTTGCTCGGGGTTCCTGAAGCCTTTTCGGTCTATGTTTCGTAGAGGTTCCAAAAGGTGAGCCTTTTTACAGCTCCTTTGGGCAAGTAGAAAAGGTCCCGGAAGTCGAGGCCTTCAAAAAGTTCCGAAGAGTGAGAGAGTGCATGGAGCCCAAAAAGAGAAAGCCGCAGGGCGGTCCTCGGGGTCCATGTGAACCTGTGGGAGAATGGCCTTCTATTCTTCAGCCCCTGTGGGGTCTCCTCCAAAACTACGTTAGATTTCTGAGTAGGATATGAAGCCGCATCTGAAAATACGATTCTGTGTACCCCACGTGTGCCATAATGTGTCGCGAGCTCACCAGGAGGCCTGACGAACAAGCATTTTGGAGTTGTTTGGCCAACTCCATCAGGAGGTGAGCAGACATAGAAATTCCAGCGGTGCTTGAATGGGCTGTAACACAGATTCGCCGTTGAAAAAAAAGGGTTTCACTAAGGCTCAGCGGGCAAGCCACTTAGCCAAGTCGGCTGGTTCTCAGCGGTGAATGCGTCCAACTTCTAGTTTCGTTTACTTTGGGCGGACTTAACTTAACCCTTTATGAGCGAACCAATCCTTTTGACTTGCTCCTTGAGTTCCTGGACTTTAAACGTTTTGGGTTTGGTGCAATTTAGTGGTACGTGCAAAAGTTTGCAACTTTTCTTGGCCAAGACAACGTCCCAGTTGCCAAGGTCAGAACATCGGGACATTTCACGAATTTCACATCATAGGCCCGTAGGCTGTTCTCACAAGTACTGTGGATGGTTGCGAAATCCACTCGCACCACTTTGAGACTATGGGGAACATGGGGCATCCATTGTTTGTTGGTATTTTCAGGGGGAGGGTTACAGTACGAAAACAGACTACAGAAAAAAGGGTACCCTTATTCTAACCTCTCTACTGGAGGACCTAGAGCAAAATCATCCTTCCAGGGTTTCTTGGGTGGTGCGAAATGGATTTCGTCCATCCACAGTATCAGGGCCCTTGTGCCATCTTACTCATGCCACAAAATCTGGGGACTTGATTACAGTTTGTCGACGTCAACAGGACCATTGCCAAGCACCGGGTGCCATGAAGTGCCACTAGGTGCGGGCATCACTTGGGTGCTGGTTGCTCCAACCTTTGACAGCTCAAGCCTGCGCCTTCAGTGGATAGCGCGTCCAGGATGTCAACAACATCAACAACATCACTGGAGGAAGATCCATGTTTTGTTGAAGGCTGCACGTCGTTCAGATTTGCGAGCCGGCGCTTGACCTGTGAGAACTGCTTGCCTGGACAAGAATCTCACATTTATTATTGTAGGAGCTGTTGGTTGGATGAGCAGCAGCTTCTTCAATGCCCAGCTTGCAGAAATCCTTTCCCGCGACAGCCTGCACCCGATGTTGGACTCAAGTCTTTGGAGTCTTTGTCCTATGCCGGACTCAAGTCTTTGGAGTCTTGGACACATCATGTCAGACTTGGAAGTTTCATGGAAAGCCATCCCCGAAGAGCCTGCCATGACGGAAGAGATCAAGTATTGTGACTGGTGCAATTCGGAGAGCAGGCAGGGCAGAATGGATGGTGCGAAGTGGTACTGCGACTTTTGCTGGGACTGCTGGGAAGGAAAGCTGCCAGCAGAAGTCGAAGAAGCTGTGAACAAGATGCAACCTCCATTTGTCCGGATATTCCATTCAGCACCTCCCAGGAAAGTTGATCCTGACCCAACTTTTCACACCATTCTGGAAATTTCAGGCGAAGTTTCCCTACACGCTGCTCGCAGGCTGGGTCCCAACTGTTGCGTGCTTGGCATGTCAAGCTGCCACTGGTCAGGTTTGGGATCAGTTCAGCGTGGACAGGTAGGTGACTTGTGTCGTTCAACTACCTACCAAGCTGCAGTGAGAGACTGCTTCCCCATCCCTATGACTGCCGCTATCTATGTGAATCCAGTCAAAGTTTTACGCGTTGGGGCCAAGCCAGTTGAGCCATTTCCCATTGCTGTCATCGCGGCTGCAGCACCTGGGCAGCCATCAGAGCGGACCATGGACCAATACGTGCAAACAATGGCGGGAAAGATCCGCTGCGTTCTTCGTATCGCTTGCTTCTATCAGCACAAAGCACTGGTCTTGGGAGCATGGGGATGCGGCAACAAGCACAACCCCCCGCGGAAGGTTGCCGAGTTATTCAAGGACGAACTGTTCCGGAGTGAGCTGGCACATCGTTTCGAGCGCGTCGTTTTCGCAATCAAAGATGCGGATCATCTTGCGGTGTTCCTTGAAGTATTTTAAGATGTCATAGGGCAATAGCTAGACTTGAGATGGGAGAGGAACAAAAACATGATTTTATCCTTCCTGTGTTTCGATATACAACTTCTTTCCCTGGTGCAGTAGAAGGCTTAACCGGTGTGTTCAAGCCTGACCTTAGAGTAATGACTGCAAACATGTACCTCGGTTGGTGAGAAGCTCAGCATGTTTTCGATGTGTGTGTGTGTGTGCGCTTCAATTTTCGCAGCCACACGTCAATGAACCATGTCTGCCACTGTTTGGGTCCCCAATGTTGAGACATCCCCACGTCGCGTGGCTATTTGGCTGTGACCGAAAAAGATCGAACGGTCGGCGTGCGGCCATGTTACGGATAGGGAGGAGCTAAATTCCGAAGTCGCAGATATTTGCTGCCATGGAGGTCGTGTCCGGTAGTTCGAGCGATTGGCTCGGGGCAACGGTGAATTGTCTGACCCAGCGAACCCACGGGGAAAGGGGCAACGTCTCAGCCCGGCTCCAGGTCCCGTTTTTGGGATTGGCTCGGCCGGGTTGGACCGAGCCTTTTAAGCGGAAATCCAGACAGACGCGGGGCTCCAATTCCACCCCCTGCGTGGCGAGTTTGGCGGAAATGTGCAACATGGTTGTGTCTCGAATGCATCGGGAACCCCCGAACGTGGGTGGGAGGAGGGGGGGGGCGCTTGCCTTTAGTTTCCCTGTGCATTAAAATATTCCCAAACATGGTTCCCTCGGAATAGACGCCCTCATTCTCGTGAGCTTTGGGGAAGGGATTTCCTTCAAAAGTCAACCAGCAACAAGCAGCTCCCATGGCCACCAGCACTGCCCTTTTCGGAAATCCGCCAGGTAGAGATTCCCAGCCATGCCCTTCAACCTTTGTTTCAAGAGTTTAGAGACAACTATGACTCACGGTTATGCCAAAAATCCCACAGCGCAAGTTTTAGCAAGGTACCAACAAAGCACTAAGATGCCAGTTGTTTTGCTTTGTTTTAAGAAGAGGTGTATATAATATATATATATATATATATAGTTGTCTATATGTACATGTATATATGGCTTCGGCGCAAATGATAAGGTCTGGATCAGAGGGCCGGGCCCACAAGTTATACAGACCCCCGATGAGGACCAAGACGCTGGCGATCCAGACGGATCCAGACATCCGGATCACCGCGGAGCGTCCCGTACCCGTGTTTTGAGCTATAGCCATATAACAACATGAGCAAATATACATGCATGTATACATACAGACAGGTACAATATATACATATATACAAATTTACACATATATATATATATATGTATGTACATATATATATATATATATATGTATGTATGGTATGTATGTATGTAGCTATATACATAAGAATAGATATACACATGGATGAAGCTATTCGGAGCCTGATGGCAACCGCCCTTGACTGCTTTCCCCAGGGCGTGAAGCCGGATTGGAGCAAGATCAAGGAGGAGATGGGCAAGAATAAGAAAAAGGTGGTCAGAGTGGAGACGACTTCTATTTTGCTTCCACTTGCGTCTCAGAATGAGTTGTTTTTTCAAATTTGTGCCTGGTGGTTTTGAAGGGAACGAGCCTCTCACTACTACTATGCTCCTCTTTTTTTCCAGGGGGCTTAAGCAAATGGAAGCTTGGGGGGGGGGGGGGATATCGATAACATCATGATACCCCCTATTTTGCGTATTTAGCACCGCCTGGAATTTCCAGATCGATTGGTTTGTGGGGTAGTGACCAGCGCATTCAGCAGGGTCAGGGGCAACAGTCGGACCTGGAATGTCAAACCCACTGATTGATAAGACCCTCACACTGGCCCAAGGCCCAAGATGGCCCTCCTGTCCTGTCCACTAACATGGAAGCTGACGTTTTTCCTTCAACAGGGCCCCTTTGGGGTTTGGTGGGTTCCAAGGTAGTGGACAGGACTGTACCGCCGCATTTTGGCGGGATAGGCACCGACTCCAAATTGAAGCCACCCCAAAACCGAAAACAAACCCCAAATCGGCGCTTGGTGTGTTCCCCAGGGGCCCAGGGGCACGTCCTCGACTTCGTGCCTTTCCAGTCGTGCACCGGCACCTCAAGCCGGTTTTTGTGACGGGGGAAGGTGAGAAATGGGTTTTGAGTTGTTGTTTTTTTCCTGGGTTAATGGCATCACTGCAGGTATGTTGTAGTTTAGGCTTGGCGGATATGGAGCAGATTCTGAAAATGGTGTTCTCTGTGTGCCCCAGATGCAGGCCGATTTGGGGTATCCAAACGGAAACCCGGAATCCGCCATGGGTGACGGTCCAAATGAATGGACGGAAGCGAGCATCGTTCAAAAATACATTGGGCCCCGTCAGGTCCTCAGTTGGCAGGGTAAAATCAAAGAACGGCACCCAAACAAGATCCCCTACAGATTGATGTGGCAGGCTTTGGGGACCCCCAAGAAAGTAGAATGAACAAGGAAGATAACATTTTCAATCCCACAATGCATACATAAAGCCGACCTTTTGACCTTCAGGTGTTCCCTTTTTGGTCAATTTGTAGGCACGGTTCCGAAAAGTTAACCTTGTATTTCCAGGCCCTCGGGGCAAGTGAGTACATGTATTCTACCCTTTATCCATACGGATGTTTGTTAACAAAATCCTCTACCCACCCGGAAGCGTTTTGGCAGCCGATGCTGCAAAACCCTGAAATGAAGATTCCCGTGTAAATCCCAAGCAACAGTGGTTTCCGCTGGTTTCAAAGTGGTGCGAACGGATTTCGTCCATCCACAGTTGACAGCGCCCTCTATGTCCCTTTGCGTGGGCATTTAACAACGGAAGCGCCAAAAGGAGCTCCCCGGCAAATCAGGGGGTTGTTGGCTCCATATTTCGCAACCATCCGCAGTATGTCACGAGAGGAGGAGGAGCCAGAGGATGAGCCGCCGGCCAAGCCCATGTCCCTCTTGGAGGCCGGAAGCTGAAGCCGAAGCTGACTGCGCCAACCGAAGAAGGCACCGGCGGTTTCCGGTGATTTGCCACCACTTCCATTTGCTGGAATCAATATGTGTTATTTTCTGTTGGTTTTGAAGGGAATCCGTCGGAACTGGAAATATTTGCTATTTTTTCCAGGGGTCTTAACCAATGGAAGCCCAGTATTCACAATGGCGGTGGTTTGTTGTTTTGTGGGGATTTGCTTGGTACCCATTTGGTGGTATTCACAAAGGCAGTGGTTTTTTGTTTTGGGGATTTTCTGGGTACCCATTTGGTGGTATTCACAAAGGGAAGCCTAGACCCATTCTGAGGGCTTCATGTAGAGACAAAGCTCAGGATTTCGTCCTCCACTGGACCAGTCCTTGGGGTCTCATTGTTCTGGGACGTTGACGTTGGGAAGTTCTACGTGCCCGCTGTGCGGAACTCCGCGAAATGGTTTGCTCTTTTGCCAACGGCCAAAAACTGGGTGTCCCTTCGTCCCTTCCGGCCGCGGGTCAAAAAATGGGCCCGAAAGTTGTTTGGGGAATGGCTCTTGGAGGCCGAGGACGCAAGATGGTTTGCTTGTACCATACCTATTGTTGATTGAATCCGGGAAAACCATGAGCTTTCCAACAACAAATTTGGCTGTATGTTTTTTGGTTGGGAACGCCTCCAAAGTTGCAGGACATGAATCCCCGAAATGATGTCCCACTCCCTGACTTTTCAACGCAAAAGGGCCCCCTGGTGCGTCGGATTCCCTTTGAGCCGAGCCACAAGGGCATCGCAAAGCCACCCGCACCAACATACGCCACGCCCATTTCTAAGCCTTTTGTGGATCAGGATGGAATTCGGGACCCGCCGCCATTCTGGTAGCAAAGGTAGCGGAATTTCTGGGTTGGAACGTCAATGGACAATCGCAAAGCAGATGAACTTTAGTAGACCCGTTACATCGGAGTGGAAGCATTACTGTACTTCCGAGGTGGGGTTTATACAGGGTACACCCCGCCGCAAGGATCAACAAGACGCATTTGTTTTTTGCGTCCAAAAGAATATCATTCTCTACGGTAGACAAGATATGAAACAGAATCAGAAGGTCTGATGCTTGGAGTACGGTAGACCGCACTGCGAGTGCAAAGTCAGCGTGACATTTGAGGATCCCTTGCTCCTTGAAGGGTTTCACTTTGGTTGGCTCAGGTGGAGGTTCTGTCAGATGGGTGAAATTTAGAGACGTCTGAAATATAGATGGGAGTAAATGCATATTGATCCGTGGAATACAATGTTGACCCCCCTCCAATAGAGATGAAACCCCACTAACCAAGGCACACCCTATCAATCAACCTGGGGTTTATGAATCCGGGGTCAACACTCGCTTCCACGCCTCCATGATACCATAATTTTGGCCCAGAACGGGATGCAAACGCTTTGTTTATGTGTGGTTGGCTGTTCCAGCTTTGAACCGCCTTAATCTAGGCATTGATTTGAACTTATAGATCGTCGTCTTCAAACACCCAATGTTTCCTCCGGATGTTTGTGGATTCTTGGCAATAAAGAAAACCCGCAAAAGTTTCCTCTGGATGCTTGCGCTTGAAAAGACAATTCCCAACAAAACAGCAGTTCCCCTTGTCACCCCTGCCCTGGAATTCCATCTATGGCAACCCATTTTCGTTTTTGATTCATGGGACGAGGGGAATGAAATTGGGACACGAAGGCATGGGGCATCCCTGGCATCCAATTTGCTCCCTGCCAGGACTCCCAACTGTCGCGCCCCGAGATCTCGAAATCACCTGACTGATCGATCGCGCGAATTGTGGTCCTTGACTTGGAACCCGCAAGCCACATGACGCGCCACGCCCATGACGCATTTCGTGGGATGGATCTGCACAAATGTAACAGGGCTCCTTAACAAGGTCTCCATTTTGCAACCATTTGAGTTACATGTTGCTTTTTCCACCAAAACACAGGGAAACCACCATTTTTCAACACCTTTGAACAAAGTCGGAAACCCACCATTTACCAAGTTTCAATGCTCGATCGGTGTTTTTCATGCATCCGGATCCCTGTGTAACTCAGTTGCCCAAAGGACCCTGGAACTACAAGGTGATCACCTTTGGGGCCATCAGATGGACCGAGAAGGCAAAACCAACAGGTGAAAAGGTCGATTCGCTTTGAACCACTGAAGTAATATCAGACACACTACTCCCCCATCGGGAAATTACGCATATCATAGCCCGCAGCCTCTTTCCAGCCTTTGGGCAACAAGAATTCCGACACGGAATTGAGGACCCCCGAAAGGAACCATCCTATCCGCATCGGGAACTCAAAAGGCTCTTAAAATATGAAAACTATCTTTTCGGGCAACCCCCCCTGTTCCAGTTCACCGCCTTTTGCAGAGGAGTAGATCATGAACTTCTGATAGTTCCGACACTTCAACTTACTTCAGTCCCATGGGCAAAAGAAATAAGCACATGTCCAGCACAGTTTGAAACCAACAGGGGCAAATAAAACATATTCTTAACTTTACAGCCTTTGGTATGGTAGCAACAAACTTTGCTTTTTTTTGCACCCCCCCCGCCCGCTAAAACATTGAACAAACCCAAAAAGCAACTAAACACACTGTAACAACCTGCCGAAAAACCTGATTTTCAGCCAATGGAAGAACACCAGACTTGGTAGTCCCCCGAACCCCGGCGAAAACACGTATGGATGTTCTTGAAGCCTAAACGACCAAGAGATCAACCTTTCTGCACTTGGGGCAATAGCCACACACAATTCTAGAAGTTAGTATCAACATCACTGGCTGGGTCAATGGGGATTTTATGGGGCTCCTTTTCTTTGCCGATATCCCTTCAATCGCTTGGTCTGCTTTTCCAAAAACAGCCCTGGAAAATCACTACCATCCATTCTCTGTTTCTCTTTTGTCCTCTGTTTTTTTCTCTCTCTTCTTTTTTCTTTGTTTTTCTCTGTTTTTCTGTTTTCTGTTTTTCTCTGTTGTTTTTCTCTTTTTCTCCCTCTCTGCCTCTCTCGCCCTGGGCTCCGAGGTCTTCCTTCATCGCTGAGCGGAAGCAAAAGGAGGTTGAGGCGAAGGATTGGTTTTTTTTCACGTTGCTAGGGACTGACTTTAATGGGAAACCAAGAGTAAGAAACCCCTGGTTGAATAGGGGATGTCCAGTTAAATGGTTGGAACAATCGGACACGGTTGGACGCGATGTGGCCACATCTGGTGGTGACTTTTACGCATCCTACTGTGTGGTGCCATTTGTCCACCAATCATGGAAGTTCATTGTTTTTGTTTGAGCAGACGGCCTCTTGTCCACTTCCGCGAGAAAACAGCACAGATGGCTATTGGCAGCATGGCCGAAACTTGGATCCTGAACCAATGTTGATTCTTTACTTACTGTGCATGGACAAAATTATGCAACACCCAAGAAACTCTGGAGAAATGATCCCCTGTAGATTCCAGCTAACAATGATGGTTTCCCATGGTTTCAAAGTGGTGCAGGATGTCATCCATCCAAGGGACTTCTCGTTTACCACCTTTTATGGCACCTCTCATTTGGAGTCTGACGCCTTGTGGCAACAAGCAAACCCGATCCCAGTTGCCCCTAACCATCCATATTTCCTTTGGGTTTCTGAATGATTCACTTGATCATGAAAAAAAGATCATGGGTAAATGAAACTGGGAAAGGCAATTCAATACGTCACTTGCTCCTGTGTCTTGTTGAGCCTCGGACGCTTTTTGGGTTGCTCCATGTTGCTCCCAAAGGGAAACCAAAAATCGGCGGCAAACCAATTACCGGCGGCAAACCAATTCTGTCTGGTTGTGACAAACCCTAAACCAACTGTTTTCGTAACATGGCACAACCAACCATTTGCCCCCCCCCCCCCCCGAATTGTTGGAGAGGAAATTGAACCCAGACAGGAAAACCATCGAAAAACTATACTTGGATGTTAAACCTTTTCAACCAGAACTGGGGTTGGTTCCCTTATAACCATGGTTATTAACTTGGACATCCAAGTAGGGAAACCCACCCATGGTCTTTATGGCTATGTGTTTGGATCTTTGGACTTTGACTTTTTGGTGGACACTGTGTGCATGTTCCGAATTGGGCCACCAAAAGTTATTCACTTTTGCAAAGGGGTCCACAGCAGCAACCAAGACTTTGAAAGCACGGCTATGCAATTCGGTCCTTGCCCATTCTTTTCATGGGGGGCAAGGAATTTTAAGGATAGGGAACCCCACCCAAAGCAACACCATGGGGCCATGAGGGAAAGTCATAAAAGAACACCATAGGGAAAACCATGAGGGACAACCATAAAGAAACCCACAGCATCGGGCATAAAGGAAAGCCATAAAGGAAAGCCATAAAGGAACACCATAAAGGAACACCATAAGGAACACCACAAGAGAAACCATAAGGAACACCAAAAAGGAAAACCATACAGAAACCCAAACACTAGGAAAACCATAGCAAACACCAGAAAGGAACACCATAGGGAAAATCAGAAAGGAACACCATAGGGAAAGCCATAGGGGAAACCATACGGAAACCCAAAGCATAGGGAAAGCCATACGGAAACTTAAACCATAGGAAAACCATAGTGAATTCCATAAAGCAACACCATAGGGAAAACCGCAGAGAAACCCAAACCATAGGGAAAACCGTAGCGGTGGGGTACGGTTTTCCCGCTTGCCACGCAGGAGGTTCAGCAGCGCTTGGTCGACTTCACCCGGCGCGAGCCGCGGCGCAAGGTCCGGAGCCTTCCCGCCCGGACGCCCGGCGCGGGTCTCGCGCGGGTCGCGGGCCAAAGGCGCGAAGCCGTCAGTGGCTAGGTCCCCCAGCTAGGTCTTGGTTGTTGTTGGGAAACACTTTACATTCTTGCTTATTGTGGTTTAGTGGAAAATCCCCACTTAGCTGCTAAAAATGTTTTTGTTGCTCAACGTCAACCAAGCTTTCTCACCCCTTTTTGTGGGGGGGAGAATTCCCCTACTAAAATAGACTACAGAAAAAAGGGTAGCCTTGTTCTAACCTCTCTACCCATACTGTGGATGGACGAAATCCTGCACCACCTGAGAAACCTTGGGAATAATGATTCCCCTGTAAATACCAACAGACAATGGTTCCCCATTGTTTCTTGGGTGGTGCAGGATTTGGTCCATCCACAGTAGGTGTCCTTTTTAGGTTATTTTGGGTAGAAACAGATGGCACCGGTTTAGGTTGGTTTTATTCCATTGGCCAGGGCCATCTATTTTCCCAAAAAGGACACCTATGTTTGGTCCTTTGGCGAAGCCGTCAGTGGTCTCTCCTTGCTTTCTGTTTTTGGCTGTCCCTTGCTTTTCCTGTCTTTGCCCAGAATATGGAAAGTTTGGTTGCAGGATCTTTGTTTTGCCCTAAGACCCGACCAAACGACTGCGGAAGGAAAGCATTTGCACTGCAATTGAAAAATCCCGATAGCCAAATAGTGCAAAGCGTTTGGGTGAAGATCATGTTGCCGTTGCTGCCGTGGTTTGGTGGTTAGGTTACTGTTGGTTTGCTTGCCTGGTAAGGGCATCCACCCTGTCTGCCGATTGCTATCGAGCGACTCCTGTGACTCCGGGGCTCTTTAGGAGCGAAAACCCGGATTTTTCAGGTTTGGAGTCTGGAGCTGTGGTAGTTGCATGTAGAGGTTCCCTCTGGTTGTGGAGGAAAGGGGTTTTACTCCGCCCATTTTTTTGTTGTAGGGTTTTCTCCTTTAAGAAGTACCAAAAAAGGGTAGTCACTCCCCCCAAGGCGCCTACCTGTGCGGGTGGTGTGAACCAATTCCACCAAAATGCACCCTCTGGCGGGTTCCATGGTGGGGAATAGGATTCACATTTGCCATATTGCAAATCACACTTACTGTGGGCCCTTTTTGGTTTCCTTTTGGTGGATTAGGGGAGTGTTTCCTCCAACACCTGAAGCTTTCTAAGGGTGGAAGTACATACCCCTTGTTCATACCCCTTGGCTTCCATAGTTTCCAACCCACTTTATCAGGGGAATATACCCCTTTCGGGGAGTGGGGAATGAACATTAGAAGGCCTTTTGGCTTCATTTGTCCAAGGGGTATGTGAAAGGGGTATGTGCAAGCACCGGAGGCTTCCATTGGTTGCGAGGACCATTGCCGAATGAAGCGAATTTGTTGAGTGGCGGTTTTGCATTGGTTCAGCCGAGTGGGAGACGGGCCCGCGGCTGAGTGAATCATCCAGCGCCCGGGATAGAATTTCAGCGCTTCTGGGATAGGTTGGTTCCCACCCCTAAGTGGTTGCCTGAGAACCAGCGAGAAACATGGGGCTTCAATAACCTGTCATGGATCCATGAACGGACACCTAAGAATGGGCTGCGTCGTTGTGACCCTTTCGAATCGACTGAGCCCAACACCCTAAGGCCTCTGACCCGCAAAGACCTCGAATAAGGTTTTGCAAGTCACGGGGCTGGGGTGGAGGCAGAGGGGGGAGGGAGCCCAGACAAGCCCTTAATAAGGCGTTATTGAAGGCTCAATAAGGGCTTGTTTGGGCTTCCGCCCCCCCCCCCCCCTCCCAGCCTTGACCCCGAGGCTGAGGTAAAGCTCCCCCTTTCCGAAAGGGCGCCCGGGGCAAGCGCCAGAGTCAGCCCGAAAAGATGTGTTTTTCCCCAACAGCTGAAAGCTTTGGGGTCTCAGCCCAGATAGGCTCCGGGGTGGTCCGGGGCGGCCCTGAGGTGAGGTTCACCCCAGGGTTCCACAAGGGTTCCACCAGGGTTCCACCAGGATCTGCGAGGGCTGCCGGGTGGTGCGAGCACTAAAAAAGAGCACCGCGTGCTGTTGGGGATATCCCCTGAGCTTGTTTGCCCAGTGTGGCTTCGACGAGCAGGAACCTTTGGGCCCCCTCATTTCCAGAATCAGGCGAGTCAAATAGATGGGCCCAAAAGCTCTCAAGTATTTCCCTCCAAGTTCAAATGGCCAGCATGCTCTCTGGCACTTTGGGTGCAGGAGGAGTAAACGGTTTTAGCTCTTTCGCCTCGGGCCGTTCCCGCGATTTGTGAATTCCTGGACACCAAACAAAAACTCTTGAGGCTCTTTTGTCCCGGAAGGCTCGGACCATTTTGGCGGCAATGCTGGCCCCATATTAATCAACCCCAGTTTATTAATAGGGGGTGTCCCTGGGTTGAGTGGGGAATCAGCACTATTGAAAAAAACCACCCTATTAATAAGCAGGGGCTGATCAATATGGGGCCAACATCACCAAAAGTTATTCGACTAGCTTTGGCAGATCTCCGACCAACAAACTTTTGGAGCGCCCTCCACGAGTCGAATCAGGTCTTGAAGACGAAGTTCGGCGAAACCCCGGAGAGCCTGTTCCACCTCTCCAACCTCCAGGAGCCTCCGAAGGCCGGGGCTGAAGGTGTTTTGTTTCAAGTCTGAGTAGTCTAGGTCCCCCAGCTAGGTGCCCTTTTAGCGTTTCTTTTTTAGGGGAGGGTTCCCCTACTAAATTAGACTACAAAAAGAAGGGTACCCTTCTTCTGTCCTCTCTACTGCAGGACCTAGGTAATCAATGTCCATATTTACTACTGTTGTCGAATTAGGTTTAAATCAGTATTGTTTGTAAACTTGTAGGTCCTCTCTACTGCAGGACCTAGGTAATCAATGTCCATATTTACTACTGTTGTCGAATTAGTTTTAAATCAGTATTGTTTGTAAACTTGTAGATATGTATATATGGTCCAGCGTTGCCAGTTCTCATGGGTCAGACAAGTACCCCCCCCCCCCCCCCTGTGGTTGTGGTCCTGTGGTTGGGTTGTGGTGGTTTAGGGTTGGTTTAGAATTGGTTTAGGGTATATTTGGGCTGTATTTAGGGTTAGTTTAGGGTTGGTTTAGGGTTGGTTTATGTTGATTTAGGGTTGGTTTATGGTTGGTTTAGGTTTAGAGGTGTACGGTTTAGGGTTTGGGTTAGGGTGTATTTAGGGTTGGTTTAGGGTTAGTTTAGGGTTGGTTTAGGTTTAGAGGTCTACGGTTTAGGGTTTGGTTTAGGGTGTATTTAGGGTTGGTTTAGGGTTAGTTTAGGGTTGGTTTAGGTTTAGGGTTTCTTGTCTAGGGATTGGTTTAGGGTGTGTTTAGGGTTAGTTTAGGGTTGGTCCGCCAACACAGCTTGGCGCCCAAGAAAAAATATTCGCTTTTCAGGGAGAGCTAAAACAGCGAACCACTTTGCTCTTGTAGGGGGAGCTCGCCCTGGTCTTTGAACTCGAGGTTGTCATTTTTACAGCGAGGGGCGCGCCCTGGCCCTCGAGCGCGGTCGGCGGCCGGGAAAACAAATCACGCCGAGCCGCGCAATCTTTCCCGCGCGGGGCGCCCGCCCGAAGCTTAAGCGCGGGGGCCCGAGCAACGCCCAGCTCGAAGCCGAAACTCGCAGCTCGACGCCGAGAGCCTGAAGCCCGAAGGCCCTCGACGCCGAGACAACGAAGCTCGAACCCCAAACCCGAAAAACTCACGGTGTTTTTTTCTTGACGCGCTTTGGGGCCCCAACGATTCCGGCTCTCGCGCTTTGAGGCGCAGACTTTCCCGCGACCTTGGAGGCGGTGGCGGAAAAGGACGGCCACATGTACTACGCCGACGCCTGCGCAGACCGGCAGAGGGGGGCGCTCGGGCGGATGCTTTCGGGCGGCGCTTGTCCGAACATCCAGGACGCCCACGCCCGCGTGCCCCTGCTCGTCACGCCCTCGGAGACGGCGCCGCTCCCGCCGGGGATCTCCGTGGTCGCGTGCCGGACGACGAGAACAGCAGGAAGAAGAAGGCGGGCTGCGCTCGGCTCGGGAGCGCGTTGGTTGGGGACGTCTCGCGCCCGCCCTTCTTCAAAAAAAAGCGGCGCGTTCGAACACTAGAGGCAAATGCTTTGTTAAGGTATTGACGTGGGCCCACTTCCGTCGCGAGCGTTGTTTCGCGAGCCGTGGCCAGGTGACTGATGGCCAGGCCGAGGCGGGGCCGCCGGTCTTCGAGGCTCTGCGCCTGCGGCGCGGCGGCCGCTTCTGCGCCGCGCAGTTCCGCGCGGTGCTGCCGGCGCAAGACCGCTGCGCTGTCCTGGCCAAGGGCATGCTGGAGGTCAACGCCTCGGCCCAGTCATCCTTCTGCGGCAAAGCAACGTCAAGGTCTGGCTCGGCACGCCAGAAGGACCGGGCAGGGGCGAGGAAGGCTTCTTGGAGGGCGGGGCTGTCGTTGCTCCTTGGGCACGCGCCGCGCGCCAGGCCTTGAACACGACGTTGACGTTGTTTGACTTGGCTTGCTCTCCGCTTCGGCTCTGAGCTTTCTTTGTCCGCGTCCTCGGCCGGGATTTCGAACAGCGCCCTGCCAAGGAGCCGCGGCTTGGCTGCCAACTGGCCGGGCCAACCTGCAGCCCGGGCCAACCTGCAGCCGACCGCCTTGGTCCGGGAGGCCTGGGCCCTGGGCGAAGAGGACGCGTGGAGCCGCAAGCGGACGCCCGTTGCGGGCATCGACTTGCGGTTTTTCTTTCGCGGCTTTGGCTTGAGTCAAGCGTCTGGCTCAGGAGCCGCGGCCGTGGACGCTCTCCCACGGCACCCGGCACGCTCTGAAAGCCGGCGGCCAACGCTTGAAGTCCAAGCAGGAGGCCAGGGGTGAGGTCAGAAGAACTTTTCCGCTCGCGTGCGTGGACAGAGCGCCCAGCCCGCCAGGCCTTCCTCGAGAAGCCGGAGCTCCCGCTAGACGGAGAAACCTTCTCCGGCCTCGCTGTGGGCGACACGTCCGGGGAGCTGGAGTCCGGGCACTGCTACGTCTTCAAGGGCCAGGACCGGGTTGGGCGGCTGTGTTTGCCGAGGGAAACTCGGCCTCCGACGCAGGAATTCTTGACGGGAACCTTCGTCGTCTGGCGGTTCCCCGTCCTCTTGCCCTCCGACATCGGCCTGTGGGAGGCAAAGGGGCCGCCGCCCGGCATGCGGCGACCGGGCGGGGACGGCGGCGGGCACCCAAACACGATCGTCGTGAACAAGGAGGAGGACCCCGACTTGGTTTGTAGGTCGCCCCGCGTGCTGCGCGGCTTGCGCGCGAGCCCGACAGGACACGATCGTCGAGCGGTCCGGCGGCGACCTCGATGGCGACGGGCTCCAGCTCTTCAACGACCCGGACTTGATTGCCTTCGTCCGGAACACGCCAGGCGGCGAGGAGCGCTTAGGGGATTTCCTTCAAAGTTCAAAGCCCCCGCCTGCTGGCGAGGGTGGAGGCTTGCTTGGAGAAGAGATCCACGTCCTTCGAAGGCGCGCGCCGTGCCTTGCAATTGACAGCTAGCCGGGGGTCCGCGAAGGACTGGAGGCGTACCTTAAGTACCTTGGCGACGTGCCGAGCTTCAGCGTGAAGGCTATGGTCACGGTCATGGCCGAGCGGGCCTTGGGCGCAGCTTGCTCGTGCGACTCGGCAGCAAAGAGCAAAGCGCTTCTCTGCGCAATGACTTTATTGAACTTCGTTGTCTTGCGGCCAGGCGAGTTTGACTCGGTCCGCCTGGGCCTCATGGACCTTGCCTTCGACATCGGGCACTTCGCCCACGCCACCGACGCGCCAAAGAAATGGGACGCGCAGAAGGCAGGGTCGGGGATCGCGGCCCTGCCGTGCAACCTGTGGGGCTTTGTGAGTTTGCGCGCCGACAGCAGCGACATGACGTTGCGTAGATATCCAACAGCTACCACCTGTTGGGGCCACCCTTAAGAAATGCTTGCCGTTCCTTGCCGGAGGTGACGAAGGCCGCCGCTAAGGCCCTTAAAGACGGCGGGGTCAAGGCGGCGAATCCGCGAGTCACCGCGCGGGTGGCGGCGCTCATGAAGCTGGACGCTGTGACGGTGAACGCCGCGCGGCCCTGGCGGCTTGGCGGCCTTGATTGGGGGGGAGGGGAGAAGGGGAAAGGGCCAGGCGGCTGCGTTGTGTTTTCTGTCGAATCGCCTGAAAGTTCTCAGGAAGGGCCACGTGGAGGAAAGCGGCTTCCGGCCGGCGATCTGGCTGCCCCGGCGCGGTTTGTGGAGCTCGCATGTTTTGTTCGCTCCGCCCGCTCCGGCGCTGCGCGGGAAATCAAGCTGAGCCGTGAAGCGGGCCAGCTTGCCCGGCGGCTCCTCTTCCAGCCGGCCGAGGGCCTGTTTGAAGCGGAAATGCCCAGGATGTCAGCCGACCTGTAGTCGCCCGCGCCCCAACCCAAATGCCACATGGCCGCAGGATGCCGCTCGAAGAGATCACGCGCTTCCTGCAGCACCAGCTCGGCATTTCCCGGAAGGACTGGCCGCCGCTGTTTGCGCCGCGTTTTCGCCTTGGCCGCCCGGGCGCGCAGGCCCGCGGCGCTGAGCGAGCTATCCGAACGCTCGCGCTCGGGCATTTCCCGAAAACTCGGAGCCTGTCGGCGGTTTTCGGGTCGAATTTCGTCTGAGTCAAGCGCCCGTGCCTGCGGCGGCAAAAAGCGCAAGCTGTTGCTCTTTGGGCTTGAAGATGTTTGCCGCGAGATGCGGCTGTTCCGATCTCCTCCGCCGCCTCTTGCGCTGTCAGGTCAAGAGACCCCCCGTCTGGCGCTCAGATTGTTTCTGAGAGATCGGGAGGCCGTGGCAGCTTGATTTGTTTCTTGCTTCGCCACTTCGAGGTTCGATGTCGTGAGCAAGTCGTGGCCCAGGGCGCGCCAGGCGCCCAGCTTGACTCGAAGGGCTTATGGCCAACAGCTCCTCCCCCCGCCTCCCCCCCCCGCCAAGCCTTCGAGATCGTGCTGTTTGAAGTTGGAGAGGCGCGGGCGCGGCGGCCCAAGGGTTTCCAATAGCTCGCGCGCTGGCAGGCGTCTGCTGGGGGCGCGGCGGGGAAAGCCTTGAGGCGCGGGAGGGAGACGGGCCGTAGCCCAAAGGTTTCCGAGCGTTCGCGCGCTCGCAGGCGTCGGCTGCGCTGCGGGATGCGCCGCGCGCGGCGGGCTGCGGCTTGCGCGCGGGCTTTCCAGTAGAGGCCGGGCTACGCGCGGTTCGGTGCGATCTTCTTTCCATTTTTGTCTTCTTCTTCTCTCTGCGTCGCCGGGCTTAAATTTCCGGGGTTTTGTGTTTCGAGTTCGGGGGTTCGCGGTTTCGGCTTGACTGTTTGCGCCTTCGCGGTTTTTGGGCAGTTTGGCGTTCGCGGGGCTTTAAGGTTTTTGAGTTTTAGGGCTCGCGGCTTAAGGAGGTCAAGGGTTCCGGGCTTCAGGGTTTATGGTTTTGGGCGGGAGCGTGTTTGGTTCGAGGCTCCAGGTTTTGTTTCGGGCGGGTTTGGCTTCGGATGTTTAGGGTTTGAGGCTGCGAGTCTTGGGAGTTGGGCTCTGGGGCTCGCGGTGTCGACGCGCGCGCCTGGCGAGTCGGTAGAACACGCGCGCGACGCACAAGAAAAGGCGCGCGCCTGGCGAGGCGGTAGAATACGCGCGCGACGCGGTAGAACACGCGAACGTCGACGCGCGCGCCTGGCGAGGCGGCAGAATACGCAACGGCGGGCTTGCAACGCAGTAGAACGCGCGAACGTCGACGCGCTCGCGACTGGCGAGGCGGCGCGCGCGTGACTGGCAAGGCGGTAGAACACGCGAACGCCGACGCGCGCCTGGCGAGGCGGTAGAACACGCGCGCGACGCGGTAGAACGCGCGAACGTCGACGCGCGCGCGCGCGCGCCTGACGAGCGGCAAAACACGCGAACGACGCGCGCGCCCCCCGCAGCAATGCTCCTAAAGCGCCGAGCCCTGCGCCGCAAAACGCAAAACCCCAAAATCCTAAAAACCCTAAAGCCGAACCCCAAACCTTAAACACGAAAGCCCCGAACGCCGGCCGCCGAATCCCAAAACCTGAAGCCCCAAACCTCAAAGCCCGCGCCCCCGAAGCAACCGTTTCAAAAATTTGCTGTGTTGGCGCACATTGGCGCGAGCCACTAAAAGTTTAGGGTTAGTTTAGGGTTGGTTTATGTTGATTTAGGGTTGTTTTAGGTTTAGAGGTCTACGGTTTAGGGTTTGGTTTAGGGTGTATTTAGGGTTGGTTTAGGGGTTTAGGGTTGGTTTAGGTTTAGGGTTTCTTGTCTAGGGATTGGTTTAGGGTGTGCTTAGGGTTAGTTTAGGGTTGGTTTAGGGTTAGTTTAGGGTTGGTGTATGTTGATTTAGGGTTGGTTTAGGTTTAGAGGTCTACGGTTTAGGGTTTGGTTTAGGGTTAGTTTAGGGTTGGTTTATGGTTAGTTTAGGGTTGGTTTAGGTTTAGGGTTTCTTGTCTAGGGATTGGTTTAGGGAGTTTAGGGTTAGTTTAGGGTTGGTTTAGGGTTAGTTTAGGGTTGGTTTATGTTGATTTAGGGTTGGTTTAGGTTTAGAGGTCTACGGTTTAGGGTTTGGTTTAGGGTGTATTTAGGGTTGGTTTAGGGTGAGTTTAAGGTTGGTTTAGGTTTAGGGTTTCTTGTCTATGGATTGGTTTAGGGTTTGGTTTAGGGTGTATTTAGGGTTGGTTTAGGGTTAGTTTAGGGTTGGTTTATGTTGAATTAGGGTTGGTTTAGGTGTAGAGGTCTACGGTTTAGGGTTTGGTTTAGGGTTAGTTTAGGGTTGGTTTAGGTTTAGGGTTTCTTGTCTAGGGATTGGTTTAGGGTTTGGTTTAGGGTGTATTTAGGGTTGGTTTAGGGTTAGTTTAGGGTTGGTTTAGGTTTAGGGTTTCTTGTCTAGGGATTGGTTTAGGGTGTATTTAGGGTTGGTTTAGGGTTAGTTTAGGGTTGGTTTATGTTGTTTAGGGTTGGTTTAGGTTTAGGGTCTACGGTTTAGGGTTTTGTTTAGGGTGTATTTAGGGTTGGTTTAGGTTAGTTTAGGGTCTAGGGATTGGTTTAGGTTTGTGTATTTAGGGTTTTAGTTTAGGTTTGGTTTAGGTTTAGGGTTTCTTGTCTAGGGATTGGTTTAGGGTTTGGTTTAGGGTGTATTTAGGGTTGGTTTAGGGTTAGTTTAGGGTTGGTTTAGGTTTAGGGTTTCTTGTCTAGGGATTGGTTTAGGGTGTATTTAGGGTTGGTTTAGGGTTAGTTTAGGGTTGGTTTAGGCTTAGGGTTTCTTGTCTAGGGTTTGGTTTAGGGTGTATTTAGGGTTGGTTTAGGGTTAGTTTAGGGTTGGTTTAGGTATAGGGTTTCTTGTCTAGGGATTGGTTTCGGGATTGGTTTAGGGTATATTTTGGGTTGGCTTAGGGTTAGTTTAGGGTTGGTTTAGGTTTAGGGTTTCGGTTTATGTTGATTTAGGCTTGGTTTAGGTTTAGAGGTCTACGGTTTAGGGTTTGGTTTAGGGTGTATTTAGGGTTGGTTTAGGGTTAGTTTAGGGTTGGTTTAGGTTTAGGGTTTCTTGTCTTCGGGATTGGTTTAGGGTTTGGTTTAGGGTTGGCTTAGGGTTAGTTTAGGGTTGGTTTAGGTTTAGGGTTTCTTGTCTAGGGATTGGTTTAGGGTTTGGTTTAGGGTGTATTTAGGGTTGCTTTAGGGCGGTTAGTTTAGGGTTGGTTTAGGTTTAGGGTTTCTTGTCTAGGGATTGGTTTAGGGTTTGGTTTAGGGTGTATTTAGGGTTGGTTTAGGGTTAGTTTAGGGTTGGTTTAGGTTTAGGGTTTCTTGTCTAGGGATTGGTTTAGGGTTTGGTAGAGGGTTAGGCTTGGTTTAGGTTTAGAGGTCTACGGTTTAGGGTTTGGTTTAGGGTGTATTTAGGGTTGGTTTAGGGTTGGTTCATGGTTGGTTGCGGGTTGGCTTGTCCTGGCGGTGGGGCTGCCGGGGTGTCGGGGTGCGAGTTCAGGGGGGTCGGGGTGGGGGGTGGGACCGTAGGTGCCAGGATCCGGGGGCTCGGGGTCGGGGCGCGGAGGGTTGGGTTCTTTTGGCAGAGTTTGGGAGGCTTTTCTTGGACTTCTCAAAGCTTCACAGTTGTTGGCAATCTGTTTCTATTTTGTTGTTTTGGTTCTGTTCATTTTCAGAAGGGGGCTATAAAAGACAAAGCTGCTCGCTACCATATCAAGGGTTGTAAGGGGGTTGGTTTATTGAGGCCGTGCCATATATTTGTTGGCCGAAGACGCCGGCCGCTCTGGATGTTTTGCATGGGTAACATAGGCAGATTATTAGGGTCTGCAGAATGAATGGATTGCACACATTCGTATCTTATGCTCACAACTTGGTTTCGTCTCAAAATACCCACGCAAGATAAGAGTTCGTTATCACATGGTATCCCACCCATGTTCTGTGGACATGTCCAAATGTGCGCTAGCTGCACATTGAATGGGCATGCAAACTCCCGAAAGGGCTCCCTTCCGTGCCCTGCGCCAACGCGTGTGGACGTTCTTGTAGCACTCTTGTAGCGCCAACGCGCTCAGGACGTGAGTATGATACTGAGTATGACTACGTGTTTTGGTTTCGTCCTGGGTTGCCCGTGTGAGCGATAAGCCCCAAAGCGTGGCTACTCCTCCCTGCACATCATTATGCAAGGGTCTTTTTTGTCAGAAAGTGCCCCACAACAACCCATTCTTGGGCCTGTACACCATTGGGCCGTGTTGAAGTGATGCTTTGTTTGCGGAATTATGTAAGCGCAAGGAAGTATCTTGCATTATTTCGGTCCCTTGAAACAGTCATGTTGAAGCCTGAAGGAGCATACCGATCAGAAGGGCCATACGAGTCGGAAGAATATGTCCAAGATTGATGGTCGTGGTCAAAACCTAAGGTGCCAAAAATGGGGATGGTTACCACTCCACTGTTGTTTTCTTGGAAGGCTTTCTGGGTGTTCACCGGGGTACCGGGGTTTTGACCCATAGCCTGATGACTTCCCTGCAAAAAAAAAAAGGTTTGGGGTGCTGGGCCTGGCATCCCTTACCCCACTACCTTGACAGTTCAATGGATGCTGTGCTTTGGCGCATTTTGCTTAGATGTTTGGACTTTAACTTTTTGCCAACTAATAATTTATCTACCGAAACCCCTAAAAGTTTAGCTTTTAGCAGGGGAGCAGAAAGCCACTGAGTTTGGTTGGGAAATATGGGCTGAAAAGTCCGGATCTCCAAGCGCAGGTGGTGCAAGCCCGGTTCAGCGCGGGGCTGGCAGCGTCGAGCGTCTCCAGGCCGGGCTGAAAAGAGACCGCCGAAAAACAGCACCGATGCCCACAAAACCTTACTTCCTGAGTAAATGGGAAATCACCCCATGGAACACCTAACTATAAATCTAAACAACCAAGTAGAAAGAGCTGACAACCAGTGGAGGGGCTTTGAGCTTTTCACTTCCTGAGTTCATGGACTTTCAACTTCCTCTTCCATTTGCTGCTTAAGAATAGTTTTGTTTTATTCCCCTGTTGGTTTTAAAGGGAATCTATCACTACTGGAAGTATTTGTTATTTTTTTTCCAGTGTCTCAACCAAATGGAAGTCCTGAGTTCAGGGACTTACTTTTTGGAAAGACTAGCCTAGTGGTAAAACAACAGTGCAGACTGTTTTTGAACAGTCCACTCAGGAAGTGAGAAACAGAAGAATCAAACCTCCCTGGAGTGTTTTTTTTCTGACCCTTAAAGAATTGTTGGATGACCCAGTTTTGTATCATAGAAAAGGTTTATATCCCAAAGAATGAATCTGCCTGGAGTCTCCTTTTGGCAATTTAAAACATCAAGAGGGTGACCCCTGATCATAGAGGCTCCAGTCCACCCAAAGCCAACGTGCGCAGTGAAGCAAGCAACCGTTCACCTTGCACGAAGACTGACCTTGGATTAATAAGCCCGTCCTACTAGGAAGTTTTTTTTGGTGCACCTTTCTGGGTGTGTTTTGAACCAAAAGGAGAAGAATCTCTTCTTTTTTTTGGGGGGGGGCTCCCCTCAACATAAGACAAGCCCAAGTCATCCGGAATCCCACTGAAAGGGGACACCTCCAAATCAACCAGGAGTTGTTCATTCTGGGGCTTTTGATGGCCACCACGCGACCGGTCGGTGCATTTGGCCAGGGAGTTGCAGGAGAAGCCCATGTTCACCAAGCTGCAATGCTTCTCGGGCGGTGCACATGGGATCTCGGACCTTCCCCAGAATTAGTTCCTCTTTTTGTTTCTTGCTTTTTTGGGGCTCCCTTTGTTTTCCACTAAGCAGGCAAAAAATGCTGGGGTCCTAATTCCAGCCAAGGGACATGTGCATATGGTTTTTCGAAGCAGGGGTGTCGTTGTTTTATGTTTTCCTTTGGATGTCCCGTTAAAACCAAGAAATACAGGTACCCTCAAAAAAACAGCCGTGTGACCTTGGTGTTGTCCCATTTCAGGGATCTCCATTGATATTGTGTTACTTGTGCTAACTGCTTACGATGGACCAGAATCAAAGATATTCTTTGGGGCCGAAAAGCTGAGGTGATCGCTGAAACCAACTTGCCTCACGCTCATGGGCTAATAATTTGTGCATCCAGCACCCCCTAACAACTGCTTTGTCCAATGTCCAAAGTTCCAAGTACGGTGAAGAAAGCAGTAGTCGGGGGCTGCTGGTCAAATACAGTCTTTCTTGTATACTTTGCATGCTCACTTCCGGTTGTGCCAGCTAGTAGCAAATCATAAGTCCTCGCGGTTTGGCGGAAAGGACCCAACCACAAGGATTGAACATCGATGTGAGGGTTAAAAGAACCCTTGTGTTTGTTCGTTGTTTTAAGGTTTTTTGCCCCAACAGCTGAAAGCTTTGGGGTCTCAGCCCAGATAGGCTCCGGAGTGGTTCGGGGCGGCCCTCAGGGAAGGTTCCACGAGGGTTCCACCAGAGTTCCACCAGGGTTCCGCGAGGGTTCCACGGGACCAAAAAGAGCACCGCATGCTGTTGGGGATATCATCAGAGCTTATTTCCGTGACGTCATCTATCAAGAAAATCAGCTTCCCCTTATTCGGTGGATTTGGTGGTTTGGAGGTGGTTTCCCATTAACCCTCTTTACAAGCGGGGTTCAACCCCGCAGTTCCAATCCAAAGCACCAGCTAGGGGTTAGCTGACAAGAACCACCCAGGAAGGTACTTGAAATGGCCCTTGGGAGCAAATCTGAGGCGTGGTTTGGGAAGCGGAGAAAAGGAGTGCCCCATTTCAACCTCCACGGGTCCTTGGCGATTTTTCTCTGAGGGCGGAGGCCTACAGACCTGCTGTGAGGCTGGGGCATAAGGATTGCTCACTCCCCGTGTTCCTGGATTTCAAACTTTTTGGCTGGGGTCGTTATTTTGACGGTTTCTGAGTGTTAAATGGGGTTGTGTCCCTTTAACCCACCACTTAGGGGGTGACTTTGATCATGGTAAAATCATGAGGCCAGTTTGGGTTTGGACCATGTTAATTGGTAAACAACCGGTTTGGACTGTTTTTTGTGGCCAAACCCACTCAGGAAGTGAGCTTGAGTCTTTGACAATTGGGATCTGCCGATTCTTCTCCCATGGGAACATGTTTCATCCTCAGGTTTTTGGGCTTTTCCCAAAGGCTCCCAACTCAGGTAACCCGTGGTTTGGGATTTGAACCCCTGTTAATGGGAACCTTAACCACCAAACCAGTTAGGAAAATGGTCGAAGCTCCCCAAATTGTTTGCAGCAAACACGAACAACCGAACTCGCCTGCCATTGGGCCAAGCTTTAAGTTAAATACCAACAAACGTTATGGGTTCAACTCTCATTTGTGTGTTTTCTTGGGATTCCGCAACCATCCACAGTATCTTCAGTCCGGTGAGATGGTTTCAGGCGGAAGTCATCATGGCAACCTTGTGGCAGCTCAGTTTTGGGACTGGCCAACCTGGACAGTCTTGGTGGCAGCAGCTTGTGCCATCAACATGTCAAAGCCGTTGGGTTTTCCTTAGGGTGTGTTTTTTTTGTTAAGGATTCGGCCGGTTTGGCGGGCTCTGTAAAGGAACACAAAAGGCAAACCATCATTTTGGAGGGCCCCCCCCCCGTTTTGACACACACACACACACAGACCCATCCATTGAACCACTGCAGTTTCCGCGAATGCCCAAGGCACTAGCGTCCGCATAGGTGCAGGATAGGTGTGTATGTATCAAAATATGGGCCCGCAAAAAAAATGCTGGGTTCCTTTGTTTTTCCTTTGAACCAACCCCTAGAAGTGTGCCCTCACCTGGGCTCTAATGATGAACCAATCCCATTTGCCTGCCTCACTTGCAATTGGTTTCCCCGATTTTGTCCATTTTTGGTCAAGGTTCCAAAAGGTTTTCCATGCTCTTCAGCAATTATTGATCATATTACCGACACCTCAGCGTTGTTGGGAAGCTTCATTTCTGGGTCCTCTGGGCAGGTAAACCGCATTTAGCAGACTGATTCTCTACGAGCTTCATATGCTAGTGGCAATCCAATGCCGTCTTGTTCCAAGAGGAGTGTGTTGTTTTGGGTGGGCTCAAAGGGAAACCAAGTTGAAAACACTCCTTTTGGCTTCTTTCCTATTCTGAGACCAAGTCTATCAAATAACCCTGAATTGCTGGTGTGGCTGGGTTGGAGATTTGACCCTCTGGTTCTTGTATAGAGGGTACATGGGTCCGAGCCACCACTCGACGCTGCCGCTCCAGGCTTGCAGCCGGCCGCTCCGCATCGTATCTTTTCAAACGGCGGCCGGAGAATCTCTCGGCGACGGAAGGCGAAGCCTTCTGTCGCGGTTGATTCAGAAAATGTTGGCAAGTGTAAGCAACTGAAGAAATACCTCCATTTGCTCAAGAAGATGTTTGATTTCCCCTTGTTGGTTTTAAAGGGAATCTATCACTGGACATGTTTTTGTTTTTTTCCCAGGCAGCTTAAGCAAAATGAAGAATACACAAATGAGTCGCTTATGATCACCACTTTGCTTGGTTGCAAAGTGCCTCACAAACCTATTCGAATTGTTGCCCGTGGTTTCTAGCAGTTCCGTTGCTTATATATATATATATATATATATTACATATATATATATATAACTTACGAAGTGCGGAAAGAGGGAAAAAGGAAAGCCCTGCAATGTCCCATGGCTTGGCATTCAGAGTTCTTGCAGTTCTCATTGCTTAGTGTTCCTTTGTTTTGTAGCTGGTTTGCTTGCTTACATTTAGCGAATCAGCCGTACCCGCTCAGCTAAAGGCTCCGGGTGTCGCTTTAACTTGCCGCGGGCATAAAGGATGGAAAAGGCGCGGTTCCTAACATTGGCAAGGTTCTGGCTCTCTCGGGCGTTCTCCCTGCCCCCCCCCCCCCCCATTCTCAGGGCTCATCCAAAATTGTGCATTTGTAGCAGAGCTACACAGACATGAGGCAAGCCTTAGTTGGTGCTTTCGGATTGGTGGCTTGCAGAATTGAATTCGGGTGCCTTACACCAAATGGTGAAGGAAATCCTATCCACCACACCGAGCTCATGGACTTGATTTTTGTTTGTTCCAGTCCACTCGGTCGGAGTCAGCCAATGGAAGAAGAGACTTTCTGGCTATTGGGGAACGGAAGTTTGGACTGAACAACTATTTGGCAAGTGGGGCTCTCGCGTTTTGCAGAGGGGCTCTCGCCCACAACCAAGTTCACAAACGCACGCGCTAGTGCTCCTGCTCCTTCTTTTTAGAGCCTTACAAATTGGCCACGCGGGGTCTGGGTTAGGATGGTCAACATCCACCAGTTGGTAGCTGAAAGGTCTGGGACTTGAGCTAAAATGATTCCCAGTTGCCCTTTGTTCAACTCTTTTTGGGAAGGTTTCCCCTTTAAGCTCAGCCAGCCAGAAAGGATGCCTTTTTTTCCATGACTGGGAATCTGAGGATGAGTAACCTTGATTATGACCCACTTGGGGGATTTTCCATGACCCCTTTCCTTTGGGGTAATGATCGACCATTTTTAAGGGTCAGAAGGAGACTCCGGGTACCCTTATTCTCTCTACTGGAGGACCTAGACAAGCTGACCCAGGCTTTTTGTTGAACCGGTTGCATCACTCCCTGACGCGATGGTTGCGTCCATCGAGAGTTCGGTTGGGCGACCGGATGGCTTACCAGCGTGGCTTTTTTTCGGGAAGCTACGTTTTTGGTATGGAGGGGGGAGCACATCGTGAGTACCTAGACTCTCCATGACCCTCAAAAAATGGAGTCACTACCCGAAAACGCAAGGGGGCGTGACCCCATGTTCGAAGGGTCATGGAGAGTCTAGGTAAGAATCGGTGAGCACATGGCTTGCTCCCACATGGCTTGCTCCAATTGTGGATTTCTCAGCCTTTTTCCGAGAAGATCTCCTGAGAATATTAAAAGTGTGCTAATTGTACCCATTCGCTTGCGTATGTCAACTGAGTGTTGCCGTAGGTGTCTTTTTAAGGTTAGCTTGGTTAGAAATAGAAGGCGCTGGTTTAGATCGGTATTTTCCAGGTCCATGTATGTTCCCGAAAAGCACGTGGCCCATTTAAGACTGAGGTTGATGAATCCGGTGGCAACACATTCAGCCATCCCTGCGTGTTTCCGCGTTAAGGGTGTTTTTTAGACTTGCCAAACACTTGGCCAGATGTGGATGCACAAAATCCTCCACCAGTCTGATAGGTGGATAGATGATTTATCCCGGTTTTCATGGGGGGTCTATCGCAGGAGTGTGTGTATTCCACATCAGGGCAATGTGTGTCTTTATTGAGTTGGTACCATTTTTGGTGTGGATTGAAGGGGAACCAAAGGACATCCAAGAACCTTTTTTGGGGTTCCCCCATTTGAAGACACTGATCACAAGCAGTCGGAGGTCCGATGGGTAGTGGGAAGGCAGCCTTTACCATTTCGGACATGGCTGCGGCTCAAATCAAGTACCCCCTAATGGCATGTTGAACAGTCACAAGATCCAACGCCTGCGTATAACACTCCGGGCTCCCTGTTTTTTTTAGCCGCAGCCGTGGGCCATGTCTTTGGACAAATCCTGGATGCGAAACTTGGACTCGGCGCTCGGCTTGAAATCTGGCGATCTGTTGCAGCTGGCTCAGTGCCAGCCCCAGCCTTCACCAAAAGCCTGGAGGCATCTGAGTCGGAGTTCAGCGTGGAAGTATGTGGAAGTGGGGTGACCCCGACTTTGTGCGTAGACCAAACCATTCTTGAGGGCCAGGCGGGACATAGCCCCTATTAGGCGGGAGGTCTTCTTGGTGGAGGTGCGAAAAGCACGTTGGACTGGGAGTTCGCAGATTTCGAGCCCTTCAAGCTTTCCTCGTTCGGCTCCCCGAGTCCCGGACTTTTTCGGGTCAACCGACTGGGTTCGCGCGATGGAACCCCAACGCGGCACATGCATCCCTCACTCCTCGAGTCCTGGACTTGAGTCACTTTTTTGATTTTGGTGGAGAACAAACATGTTTCGACGTTGTTTCGCCCTTCCACTTGTTCGGAAGTGAGATCTTGGGCTTGTCTTTGGGGGGAAGCCTAACTGCCTTTCTGTGGTTTCTGGCGCCTGAAAGCCGCCGTTCAAGTTCCTAGCTCGAGCTGGACTTGAGTCACTTGTAGCAGCAAAAAGTTCAGGAAGTGAGGTTCCTTACATCATTTTGGAAGGTCTCATGGGGTCCGAGAAGGGCGAGGAATGTTCTGATAGGAAGCGGGGCCGAGCCGAGCACTGCGGGTCTTTGGTGGATGTTTAGGTTCGTAGATGCTCCATGGAACTTCCAAATGGCTGGGTGGCACACAAACGCACACTGTGAACCAGCGGCCCTGGCCCTCGAGCGGTGGGGCCCGTGCCAACGAGCCAGGCATGTGCGATGAGCTACCGACCCGGACAGGGTCTCAGCGATGAGGCGACAGTCGGCGACGTGCGACGGCTTCGGCTTCCCATTCTTGCTTGCTGTTTGGTTGGGAGCGTGAAGCTTTACTAGAACCTTGTTAGGAAAGCCAGGCATGTTCCTATAGTTACCAATCAAACACTTAAGAGCAACTTAGTCCTAATCTAGCAAACGGTTTGGATGCGCTCTTTGCGGATTTCACCTGTTCTTCCCCCTGTAGGTATCCTACAGGGGTTGGATCCACAACAGCCACATGGAACCCCTGACAGACATTTCCCTTAAAAGGAAAATGGTCTTCCAGGACCCCCCTGTCAGCTTCCATGTTAGTTGGTAGGATAAACTTATTGCTAACCAACCCAACAGTGGCACGACTCATCGGTCAGGCGGTCGCGCGGCTGAAGGCACGCAAGACCGCGGCCGGCGTGGATGTTCCGGCGGAGGCAGAGGGCTGTAGGGTTGTGGGGGGGTGGGGTGACTGACTCCCTCGAGTTCCTGGCTAATTAGGTCCCCCAGTAGTGCCCTTTTTAACCCCTTTTCTGGTTGGGATGGACTTTTGGGAGACTCCCAGCAGGGTTTCATCCAACCCAACGGCAAGATTTGATCTATTCACAGCACCTTCTCACTTCCTGAGTTCCTGGGCTTTTTGGTGTTTGGACCATTTTAGGGCTAAACAAAAAGCCATGAACTTTCTCAGTCCACTCAGGAAGTGAGTAAAGGATATGTGGGCCAGACAGAGCATGCCCTTCTGAAGTATGCGTTGTTGACGTATCTTTTAAGGCGGCCCTGTCTTGACGCCACAGAGGGAAAGGGTGGGACCCATTTCAATTTCAATCTGGGGTTTTCCGTTTTTTTTCTGTTGGCTAGTTTCTTTTGGGGGGCGGTTGTCGTAAAACCCTGTGCTCCCCTCACACTCCCTCCTCCCCAGAATGGGACTGGGGAAGTGAGGGGGAAGGTAAAAGAGTCTACACCTTCTGAGTTGGCAACTCGTCGGAAAGTCTGGAGATGAACCCAGATTCCCTTTCCTTCCTGGACTTTCAAACTTTTTGGGAAGACCATTTTAGTGGTAGGTAAGTAGATAATTTGATTTTTTCAGCCAATCCACTCAGGAAGCGAGTTTCTTTGACAGCCTTCATTGAATCAAAAGGACGGCTCCATCCACCAGACTAGCCTGTGTTTCCGACTTTGCGGTGCGCTGGCTTTGCTCCCGGCTGGACTTCCTCGCGATTTTGGAACAAACTGGCTCCAGGCTCCAGGTGTTTGGACGGGCCATTCTTTCACACTCCAATGAAGGAATTGGGAGAATCTCAAAACGCTGGACCCAGTTTAGTTGGTATGCTGAGGGAACCCGAAAAGAAGCTGTTGCCATTTCAGGGGACGCCCACAACCAGGAACCCTTTTTGAAAGGGGCCCCTCTTTGTTTTAGGCAACGCCACCGTCATAGCTATCCATATAACCCCCATCAAAAAAAAAGGATATGTTGGCCCCTTCCTCACTCCATGAGTTCCTGGACTCGAGCATTTTTTTGGAAGGGGCAAACCCAAAAAAGTTTGGATGTTGTTTGGCCATTCCCATTCCACTCAAGAAGTGAGCTTCCTTCCATTTCTGCTCATCAACGACTTGGTTGTTTTTTCCCCGGAGGTGCTTTCAGGGTTCGTGAGTCCGCTTTTCCCCTTTTCTCAAAGAGTTGCCTCCGGCTTTGGCTTTGCCATGGCTCCCTCTAGTTCCCCTTCTGGGCACATCAACCTTTTTCCGTTTGGTGGGATGATAACGGGAAATGACGCCTTCGGACGGGTCAATCTGGATAGCCAGGCTGCGGGGTGGGTCACTGCGTTCGCGCTTGGAGAAACCTCTCAGGTACCACTTAATTCACGGTTTGGATTGGTGGTTGGGAAATTTTACCAACCGGTCCCTGTTAAAACCAAATCGGGAAGATACTCCCCCTAACATCACAAATTCTTGCTGGTTCTCAGCAGGAGGGAATGAGCCGCCCGACGCTGAAACAAGACCAATCTCCCCGAAATCCGTGAGGAGTTTCAGGTTCTCTAAAGGATACGCCCTGGCCCAAATATGAGCGGGTCGTTTTTTGAGGGTACCCTTTTTGGCTTGGCTGAAGGAGAAACAAATGGAAAAGACCCATTTTTCTGTTGCTACCTTCCCCATTCTTTCCAAAAAAACTTCTTTCTAAAAAACCTCCTTTGAAACCCAGGGAAACGGATCCAATGTTTGGAAAGAACAATGGTTGCAAAGAATGGGGAATCAACCCCTAGAAATCTGCCTAGACTCTCCGTGACCCTTCAAACATGGGCCCATTTGACCCCTTTCTTTTGGGTGATGATCAACCGGTTTTTAAGGAAACGACCCATTTTGGGGGTGCCTCCCTGAACTCGAGGACTCCAACGCCCAGTGGGACCGCCTCCTCGGCACTGATGCCAAGAAGAAGTTGAGGTGTTCCGCCTGGCGCAAAGCTTGCGACGTGCGACGTGCGAGAGAGGACCGCTGGAATTTTGCTGAGTTGGCAAAGTGGGAAAGGAATATGTGTGTGTGTGTGTTTGTGGTTGGTTGGCTGGTTGGTTGGTTGCTTGGTTGCTTGCGTGCTTGCTTGCTTGCGTGCTTGCTTGCTTGCTAGGCAGGTTGGTTGCTTGCTAGGTTGCTTGCTTGCTTGCTTGCTTGCTTGGTTGGTTCCTTGGTTGGTTGCTTGGTTGCTTGGTTGCTTGGTTTCTTTGGTTGGTTGCTTGGTTGGTTGGTTAATTGGTTGGTTGGTTAATTGGTTGGTTGGTTGGTTGGTTGGTTGGTTGGTTGGTTGGTTGGTTGGTTGTAACAGGGCCCACCGCAAAGCCGCAATTTTGGGGGGGGACCCCCCCATTTTGACACATACCACAAAATGGCCCAAAGGAGATACCAGCTGAGACAGTCAACAAATCAGCCAGCTGATTCAAGGAACCCTGCTAAATAATATATTACAAAGGTAGGTGTCCTTTTTGGTTGGTGTGGCTGAAGAAAAAGGCCCCTAGTTTACCTAGTGGTTCAATCATAGGGCCGTATGTTGTCCAAAAAGAACACCAATGATTACAAACATTAAATGGTCATGACAGTACTCCACAACCCCATTCTCATTCCTTGGGCAATTGCAACATGGCACTCAACAAGGGTGTCCTGACAAGCGGACTCCTTCAAGCATGAATCGGTGCTTGGGGTTCCTTCTGGTCCCTTCCGTTCACTTGCAGGAGGGGGTTGATAGCTCGTAACCCATTTCTAATCCTGGTGCTGGGGTCATTATTTTGACCGTTTCTAGGGGTTATCAAAGTCAGAATATGGGGTTGTTTCCCTTTAACCCATCACAGGGGCTGACTTTGATCATGGGGCCAGTGGCGGGCGACGACCCAAGTGGCCAACATCCGCTCGCTCCAGCCAAAAAAACGAAAAACAAGCGGCACTCATGCCGACGGACTCGCCAAGGTGTGCACGAGGCCATTGTCGGAGGGCGACCAGCAAGCAAAGCGCCGCTTTGCGCAAGAGATGGGATTGTTTGGGTGTGTTGTTCGTAGGGTAACGCGGTTTTCCGTTTGGTTTCCCTTAAACATCACAGAAAACAGGGGGAAAAAAAAAAAAAAAAACGCCCGTTCTTGCTGAGGCGTCCGCTATTGGCTATTGGCTAGATGTTTCTTGTTTTGAAAGGCTCAGGCCTTTGCTGGTGGCTAGATGTTTCTTGTTTTGAAAGGGATTTTTCCTCTCAAAACAACTGTCAACAAAAAAGCATAGTATTTCTTACTTATTTTCAGTTGTTTGGTATCACCTTTACTTTCCTTACTTCACCATTCAAAATAGAGACTCCCGGACAGGGTTCCAAGAATTCAACTGGGTCATCAAATCCAACCTGTAAGACGTCACGGGGAGACCGCGCCAACTAGGATAGCTCAGCGGTTTGCTGGCCAGCAAAGAGCACATTGCGTTTCCCTGCTTCATTTGTTAGCAAAGCACAATTTGCGGTTTCACTCGACTGGCAAAACCAAGCCCCAGGACACACATTCCTAGACAGGTACTGACCCACCCGCGAGCCAAGCGCAGACACAACGCGGGAATGGGAGCGTTCCAGGATTTCTGAAAGGCGGTGCGAAACGGACTTCGAAACCATCCACAGTATTCATATCTGGGTTAACATTATCTCACACCAGGTGGCACCAGGAGATCCAGTTGTTTGTGTGTTGGCAAGTCTTTGCCACTGGAAACGTGGCAAATGACACATACCATTTGGAGAGAAGGGCGTGTCTTGTTTGGAGAGTACCCTTTTTTGGGGTTGACACCCACCCATTTTGGGTTCCACTAAATTTTGACACATCCAGAAGCGAATAGTTTCGGGCCTCGCTTTTTTCTTCAAACACGGGATGCAAGCTGAGGCGTGCTGTGTGCCAATTGCACTGGCTCAGTGGGCGCCTCAGATCCGGCAAAGCCATCCAGGTTCAAGTACCTTCCTGCGTGGTTCTTGTCAGCTAATGTTGACCCCGGAATATACCCCTGGTTGATGGGGGGGGTCGCCTTTTAGTGGGGATTCATCACTTTTGGAGGGAACACCCCCATAATAATGGGACGGGTTCATTAATCCTGGGTCAAAATTACCAGGTAGCCCGCAGTTGGTGGTTTGGATTTGTGGGCTGCGATTTGAACCCCTGGTTCAAGAGGGTAAATGGGAAGCCGCCCCGCAACCACCAAGCCACCAATGCAAATCCTCAAGAGGGAAGCTGATGCGTGGCTCTTGGGATTTGAAATCCTGGGGGTGGCTTTGGCAAGTCCGAAAGCCATTGTCGTCCCAAGCTGCCAGTCTTGCAAATCCCATTCCCATTGATCTGCCTACTTTATGGCGAGCGATTTGACCGCAGGGTGAAGTGAGCTCAGGAAGGTCCTTTGAAGGATGCCAAACACCTCAAAGTGTTTGGGATTCTAAGCAAATCCGAAGCTTTCCAACAGCAGACATTCCCGTTTTAACGTGCTTTTTTCTTGGTCCCCTCCGACCCGGGGGACCAAAACGCCCCCCACAGCCCCCCCACCCACCCCCGAGGGCGTGTTCTCGCTGGACCGCGCTGCAGTGGCTCACCTGGAGCTGGGCTGCCCGCGGCTCGCTGGGGAATCACGCGGGGGACTCCTCGCGTCCCCGGGCCCCTCTCTCAGTCTTGGCCCCCCAGCGAACGGTGCCCTTCTCATCCCCAGTGGCGACTCTCACGCTCGCTCGCGCAAAAACAGGTGGCACGAAAGGACGAACAAATCACACAACTGGGTCCCGTAGTAGTGCCCCTTGACGAACTTTTTGGGGGAGGGTTCCCCTACTAAAATAGACTACAGAAAAAGAGATCCGGCACCCTTATTCTGACCTCTCTACTGGAGGACCTGGAAGTGGTTTGGAACCAGGGCACGAACCATTTGGCTGACTCCCAGGTCGACCATCTCAGTGGGGACCATCTCAGTGGGGACCATCTCAGTGGGGTGCTTACTCCTTTGAATGGGCGTATGTTTGTGTGAGACCGGCTTCCACCCACACGGCGCCTGTTTGCAGCAACCAAAATGAGGGAATGCGCCACTCGGCAGGGCCACTCCGAGGCCTTTTGATTTGGTTCTGAAAGGGATTTGCTACTTTCCACGTGTTCCCCCATTTTTGGGAAGTTGTCCAAATGGGTATGGGTCAAAAAATTAGCCACCAGGAACTGGACCACAGGTTTAGACATTGTTTCCATTTGCCAGGCTTCCATTTTGGGGTTACCCTATTTTTGTCCCACAGCCATGTGTCTTCTTGGTGGCTCCCAGCCATCCGGTTTAACTTAGCTTTTTATCTTTTTAGTGCTTAGAAAAAAGAAAAAGAAAAACATAAACAAAAGCATGTGAGCCACAATCAAAACCGATTCGGGTAGATGAAGGTTAGTAAAGAAATGGCTGCGGAATTCCGCCTTCTTAATTCTTCACATGGTTCTGGATAGACCATCTTAGCACCGGGTTTTGATTGTGGCTCATGTGTCTTCGTTTGCCTGAAGGATACTTCTCCCATTTCGGCACATGGACTTGGCTGAAGCCCTGCTTTCTTGTGCAGAATTTGCTTTCTGACACATCCATGTGTCGTGTAACCATGGTTATTAAGTTGGGCATCCAAGTAGGGAAACTCATGGCAGTTCTTTATATGGTATTTATGCGGGCGCCTTAACTAGCTTGTGGTGGAAGGGAATCCGTGTCTATAGTTTGCCAGATCTTTGGACTTAAACTGATCCATGTGTCAGGTTTTGTTGGGTGTCGGGTCTACATTTGGGCCCAGAAATCACCCAAATACCAAGTTTGGAAGTCCAAGTCCCTGTCTTTATGACTATTTGGTAACGGATCTTTGGACTCAAGTAAGCCTTCTGGTTGAAACATGGATTTTCCGAAGCTTTGTGGATTTTCCGAATCGGACCCGGACAAAAATGAACCCTTGCAGAGGGGCCAGCAGCAAACAAGGTGTCAGACGACCCCTTAGACTGGGCAGCGGGTCGCGCAAGGAGCCGGTCCCCTTTGCAGTGGCTTAATAGGATTACGGCAAGTCGGATTGGCCACCCTCCAGTTTAAACATCCCAGTTCAATTGGTGAATTGGATTGGTGGCTCGACGATTTGAACCCCTTGTTTTTGTGGAGGGTAATAATGGGGGGACGCTGAATCTGGGTATGAATTTTAAGCGGGGGCTCTTCGGGGGACACTGTTTAGGTGGGGATGTATGCCCACAAGCCATTTGGGAGGTGGTTTTCCTTTGTTAGGGTACCCTTTTGTGCATTTAAAGAAGACGGAGCCCATATTCTGAGACAATCCCATGAGCGCCCAAAACCAAAACAGATTCCCAAAACAGCCATTTAAGTAGGTGGTTCTGCCACCTGGTCTTACAACGATCATAGCATAAAGCCTTTATGGTCATGTTGTTGTTGTTTCTTCGCGGGTACTGTTTTGGCGGGTTTGTTTAAGAAGGATAGTAGTACGGCCTGGCCGCCTAAATATGAACCTGTTTAGCCATGTTAGTAGAACCAACAGCCAATAATTGCTGCTCACTTGAGTCTGATTTTAGTTAAGTCCGTGAATCTAGCCACTCATAGCAATTCGTTGAGTCAACTTTCCTAGTAGGGACCCTCTGGACATCATAGTTAGGATGTTTCAGGGGTTCCAACTCTCAAAGTTCACCGCCATGGTAGGGTCCTTCCGGTCCTTTTTGCTTCCTTTTGGTTTCCCTCAACTTTGAAGCTGGGACCTCCCCTGGAATTCCATGGTTCAGTTGCGGGAGGACTATAAACATGTAGTTGCGGACCCCCCCTACCTTCCCTTAAACTGAAGGAATATAATGCGCAGAAACGGATGGGCGATAATTTGAACCAGTTGCAATGATTCACCCGCCACTTTTTCCTTTGGCCCCCAAGCAATTACAAGGACAATCGCGTGAAACTTGTTGTGCGTTCAATTCAGTACTTGTGGGTTGCTGCCTCAATTGTCAACCAGAAGTTCTTATTAGATGCATAGAATTGAAACAAGGACACATCGGAACACATGTTGTCCTTCGCTTTGCGGGTGTCTGCGTCGTGTTCATGGATGTTGTTCTGTATATATCTATATTTAAGTATAATCAGAGGGCTTGCATTTGGCCGGGGTTACATGTCACATGCTAAAGTTCCTTGCCTGCAGAGCTTCACTCTCTGGGTGTGTGATTGTGAGTATGCGTTGCTCGGTGCTGTTTTTTTTTGGGGGGGGGTTTGTTTGGGGGGGGGGAACAACAACTGCAAGGAGTGCGAACACCTCTTTTCAACAATCATAAGTGGACAGGGGCCTTCCCCACGAAAACCCTCTTGTCATCCTTCATGACTGGAAGAACCCGGAGACCGAAACAGTTTCCAACACATACCCAATGGATTTACTGTGTTTTTTGTAGTATTTGGAAGGAATCTATTTGTCAGAGCCCATTCAACGCGTAAGGTTGGTTCGGCAGGCTTGGGGTTTCTCAAAACCAAGTTTCTCCTAAGACCCGGTTTTTTCGTTCCCTGTGGCTTGCCTTTTTCAAAAAGGTGTCGATTCACAATTTCGTGCACCTCCCTGGCCATCCCCCCTGATTTACTTATCTATGCCATCCTTACACGTGGCAAATCTGGCGAAGGATTGCCTATGGCTTGACTGGGATCCACTGGCACTGAGGATCTTCTACTACTGCATGCGGCACGTGAAGCCTCAGGCCGGCACGGCCCAACCTGGGCCTTCTGTCGACCTCGAGCGGTTGGTGCCTGGCGCTCGCTTTTTTTTTTCGGGAAGCCAGAAAGGAGCTGCGTTGAAACGGAGGTCCCAAAAGACAGGGGTCATGACCCCATTGAAAGGGTTATGGAGACTCTAGGCAGTTCCTTTCGTTGTCCTTCCTTTGGTGCCTGTTGCTTGGATGTTAGGATTTCATTGTTTTTTGCCACCAAATGGGTTTTCCGTATTAAACCGCTGAAAATTAAGCTTTTAGCAGGGGAGCAGATTTCGCGACCGAGCTTCTGTTTCCCATGTTGGGATCTGCCCGGCAGGCGCGGAGTGAAGCCCCGAAAGCCGTGGAGAAGAACGTGTCCGCGCCTGCGGCTCCCGTGCCGCAGAGGACGGGCGTTTCGGGGTGATGCCATGTACAACCCAGTTGCCCGGTGGTGCCTTGTTTGTTTTCCTTTTTGTCCCAAAGCTCCGGGTGGTCCGGGGCGGCCCTGAGGTAAGGTTCCACGAGGGTTCCACCAGAGTTCCACCAGGGTTCCAGGGTTCCACGGTGGTGCGAGCAAGAAAAAGAGCACCCTGAGCTTATCTTTTGGGAAGGGCTCCCCTTTTAAAGTCAACCAACCGGAAAATGATGCCCTTTTTTCCCCTGGCCACTGGGTATTTGGAGGGTGCCCCCTTTTGGTTGGTTTTAAAGGGAAACCAAAAGGAAAGTCACTGTTTTTGGGTGGAGGGGGTGTAGAGACACACCCAGATTGGGTAACCAAAAGCTTGCCACCCTTTCAGTCCTTGTCCCCCACCCTTTAAAACCCAAGAGGAAAATGGCTGGTTACCCACAACACTCTTAGGTTCCCAGTGGTCCAAGTTTCGGGGGGAACAACAATTGGAACCCCACCGCAACCTCGCATTTTACAGTCCCTGTCAGCTCTTGTTAGCACGAGGTGATCTTCCATTGGCTGAAATGCGCATGTGTTTTGCCTTTTCTTTCCCGACAGCTTGAGCTATGTAGCTACAATATAGTTGTATAGACGTCTTTGACATATTGTGGGTGGACCAAATCCTCTAATTACCACTCTGAAACAATGGGAACCCATTGTTTGTTTCTCAGTTGCCCAAAGCCAACCTTTTGACCTTTTGGTTTCTCCTGTTCTAGGTTTAGTCATGGCGCCAAAAGGTGATCACCGTTTTTTCTGGGTCCGAACTGGACAAGTGAGGTTTTGTATCAAGGGAATCCTCACAAACCCCGGGGGTATCGTGTGGTAAAACACGAAGGCGACCCTCAGAAACGAAGCCTCCAGAGATATTCCATTGCAGCTTCTTTCTCTCACTCCCTGAGTTCATGGACTTTAGTCACTTTTTGGGCTTGGGCCATTTTGGTGGTAAACAAAAAGTTTGGACTTGTTTTGGCCAATCAACTCAGGAATCGAGTCTTTTAGAGATAGCTCAGCTGATGTTATCGCCAATGTTGGGTGATCAGCTGCCCTAAACCTCTCAGTTTGTTTTGTGCCAGTTGAATAGGATTCACTGATATCCCCATGGGGAGGGGGATGACCCCTGAAACTTATGTAATTACATGTCCGGAAGCCTTGGAATTTGGAATTGAGGATTTAGGTGAGTTCCACCGATCGCCTGAGTGCTACAACAGCCCTTGGAACCATGCGAGAGGTTTGGGGCAGGGTAGGCGATTCAACCCCTTGTTTAAACATGTTAAGCCTCTGCGTACCTCCTCCTCCGCCTCCTCCTCGTCCCTTTGCTACGGTGTGGATTCACGTTGCCTGTGTGTGTTAGGACGTTGCCGGTCCTCCCCCGCGGGGTGGCGCGCTCAGAGGTATCCACCGGTCCATGGGGCACCCTCTTTGGTTTTCGCACTTCGGAGGGCATCCCTTTTTCCAGGTCTCCCGGTAATTTCTTTGGAGAGTCTCCAGTCGTGTCGGAAGTGATCGCCCTAGCCGCAGCCCCAAGTCCAGCATCGGCGCAAGCCGACAGGCGCTCCTTTTTCTATGATCCCAAGTCAGGGCGCTTCCCCCCCCAAGTGCCCCCCTCTACATACTGTGGATGGACGAAATCCTGCACCACCTAAGAAACCCTGGAATGATTTGATTCCCCTGTAAATACCAACAAACAATGGTTTCCCATGGCTTCAACGTGGTGCAGGATTTCGTCCATCCACAGTATGTCCATTCATGATGCCACCGTCCCCAGCGTGGGGAAGACTTGCTGAGCTTAACCCTCTGGCACCACTGTCTAGTTCGCGGTTTGGATTTGTGGCTTGTGGGGCGTTGAACCTGTGGTTACTTTCTAGGGTCAATGATTGCCTAGAGAATAACCACACATCCAATAGGGGCAACCATTCAACTGGCCCCATGATGTGACCATCAAAGTCACCTGCCTCAAGTTGCAGGTTGAAACCACCTCAGTTTCTGAGTTTGTCCATTCCTGATCATGACGAAATAACCCAGCCATGTGCCCTTTTTTTGAGGTCCCTTTAACATCCAGTAACCCCCCCCCCTCCCCCCCCCCAAAAAAGAAACAAAAGAAGACACATAAAAGGAGAAAAACAAGGGCGGGGGGGGGGCACCCTTTTCTCCGATGGACATGGTTTCTTTCGAGGCTAAGCTCTCCCCCTCCCAGGTGTCCATCCAGGAGCACTTGGGTCTTGTGGTAAAGAGCCATCTGCCATTGAGCATTCTCAGCGTCAACCTGCTGTCTCACTGCTACGTCCGCGGCTCGGTCTGAAAGAATCCAAGAAGCCCGGAAACGGTGGATCCAAGAAGCCGGTTGCTGGGTGCTATTTTTTTTGGCGTTGGTTCAAAGGAGGACCAAAAGGAAGCTTTGGGTTCCCTATTCTGACACATGGCCACACTCATGTCCATGCACCAGTAAATAAAAGCCCCGCCCGCAACCCTTCTTTCCCGCAAAGAGCCAGCATTCCGATGCACCAAGAAGGCATGAACAACCAACACCCACCAGGGACAGCCCCCGACACCTGAGATGGAGCTGCTTTGTTGGCAAGGGCACAGTTGGCCGTGTGGCTCCTTGGGGAAACGGCAGGCCGTGTTTCGCGTTTCGTGGCGCAGCCCAGGAGTTGCGAACCAGCCCTGGAACGCCTTTGCGCATTGCGAGGCGCGTGGGGGGCCCGGGGAGGGCGCGCTCGGTCAATCCGACGGCAATGGAGGTCACTCGAAATCCGAAGGAGCCCAAAGCACGGCAGAGGCGTGTTTTCGGCTTGCTCGCACTCTTCAGGGTAGCCTCATGCACCAAAAATGAAAGTAGATTCTCAGATGGCACATTTCGCTGAATGTGGAGGACATGGGAGGACTAAAGCCATCTACCTGGAGTCTCCTAACCCTTCAAGAATGGGTCCGCCCCATGTTGGGTAATGACCACCCATTTGTTAAGGGTCAGACTCGGAGGCTTCAGGTACTTGCACCCCCACACGCCCACTTCGGAGCTGGAAGTTACAGGTGGTCGCCTTTTGAACATAGACCAACAAGGGGAAACCTTGGGGTGTCATTTCGGATTTGTTGGGTAACTCATTTTTTAAGGGACCGCCCATTCTTGAAGGGACAGAAGGAGGCTCCAGGTACCCTCCACCCAGGTGACTCATTCCTTTCGGATCCGTCTTGGGTGCTCAGCCCTCACTTTGGTGCATTTTGCTTGGATGTTTGGACTTTTAACTTTTTGCCAACTAGTGGGTTTTCCGTATTAAACCACTAAAAGTTAGTCACTTTTCGCAGGGCTTCGCAGATTTCGCCACCAAGCTGACTCAGGAGGCGCACTTGGCCTGGGAGCTCCGCCAGCCCCGACTGGCGGAGATGCTGCGGGCGAGCAAGGCGGACGTGCTGTGCCTCCAGGAGAGGCTGACTCGAAGCGAGTGGAGTGGGACGAATGTTGACCCCGGATGCAAATGGACGGGCCTAGTAATAATTTGATACTGTGGATGGATGAAATCCATTTCGCACCACTTGGAATCCATGGGAAACCGTTGTTTGTTGGCAGTTGCAGGGGAATCATCCTTTCAGGGTTTGCCAGGTGCAGAGCCCGTCCCTTGCATTTGCCGAAATGATTATGTTTCATTGTCGGCTTCTTCTTTTTTAGGGCATCTATCACAATTGGACACATGTTGCATTTTTCCAAAGTCTTGTTTTTGATTCTCCTCTCGCAAATGGGGGGGGTCCTATTAATAGGGCGGGAGTTCCCTTCCAAAGCAATGAGCCCCGATTAATCAACCAGGGGTTTGCTAATCTGGGGTTCCCATTGCTCGCTTCCTGATGTTTGGACTTGGTACTGTTCGGAAAGATCATAGTTGCAAACATAAAGTTTTACAGTTGTGCATGGTTTCCCTTGGAGGGGCCAATGGAACAGTTCGAGGCGGGCACGCATGATTTCCAGTTCGGGTCTCCGCGTAAAGAGCTTCCCCTCCCACTCCCATGCGGGCACTGAACAAGCCTCAATAAAGCAAATCAACATGGCCAAGCAATGCCTTTGGGGGGGCGGGGGTTGTTGCACTTCTTCGCTGGAGCAAACTGAGCCCGCAAGGCCGCATGGGACGGGTTTTTGGTCGTGACTTGTGTTTGACCAAACTGCTTATCCTATATGTGTAGTATGGTTGTAGTATGGTCGTAGTATGGTTGTTTTTTGGTTGTAGTATGGCTGTAGCATGGTTGTGGTGCGGTGTTTTATGGTTGTAGCATGGCTGTATGGTATGGTGTTTGGCTGTATGGTTGTAGCATGTTGTTTGGTTGTTTATGGCTTTGGTAGTCCGCATTCTGTTGCTTGCAGCTTCCTTTTGACGTCAGGAAGTCACCATGGAGAGCCGAGAGGGCGATGAGGAGAGCCCATGGCAGAGGTTGTTTTTTGCAGATCATAGCCCCCTTCCAACGTCAACCAAAGACGCTCATTTTGCATAGATGTTTTTCCTACGCTGTCACTCCCTTGACCTGGGATAAAACATCCGCATGGGAAGCCTGTCATAGGCTAGGTCCCCCAGTGCCCTTCTCTCCCTTTTTTTTGGGGGAGGGTTCCCCTACTAAAATAGACTATATACAGAAAACAAGTTGGTACCCTTATTCCAAAGTCTCTACTGGAGGATATTCTCTTCAACAGTCAATCCTTCCTTCTTCTCCCTTGCCGTACATATGTGTCCCACGGATAGGATTAGGAATCCCCGCATGTTGAAAAGAGGGCAGCCTGTATCACTCCCGCGAAGCCAGCTTTTGGTATTGGTATAGGGTGGCACTTCCCTGGGTGAATTACGACCTCACACGACCGAATTCACCCCAAATGGTGGTTTATGTGGGGAATAGCCCCCCGCAACTCCACCTTACGTCAGAGTGGTGAAATATAGTTCACCCAGACTTCCGGTTCCCTTCCCTTCCCATTTGGTCGCAGGTTTTTTTTTGTAACTTCCGGCTCGGCCAAAACTTCTGCGATCCGAGCCTTTAGGTTGGAGCAAGTTGAACCCCACTTGATGGGTTGAAACTGGGGGGGGGGGCAGGTCATTTCGCGGATGTGTTACCATGCATTTCTTGTGTTAATGATTAAAGATGTAGACCAAACTGATTTACATCGTTTTGAACCCAGCTCACGTACCCTCTCCAAATCTTGGAATCTGAAGTCTGGCTATCCGTTAAAGGGACCTGCGTCAAAAGTGCCCTCGAAGAGGTTGAAAGGGAAACCCCCTCGGAAGGAAAATTTTGAGAACCCCCTTAGATTGCAAGCGCTTGGGACCGAGCCGTGCGGCCGGTGTCATGGCATCCATTGCGTTTGTTGTTTGCTTCAGGTTTTGGAATGAATCAGTTTAAAGACCTTTCCTCCAATAATTACTCAGTTTCCCGTGATCATGCTTTTTCTGTTCTTTTGTTTTTTTCGCCAACCAAATTCCAACAAAGAGCTGACCGACCTAAGTGCACGCCTTTGTTTGCTCACGTGTCCATCTTGGAAACCCCACTCTCTCCGCGACCCAAGTGACGACCCCTTCCGTTAGGACGGGACACTTCTGGATTAAAAAAAATGGACCCCCGCAAAGTGGAACTTGCTGAGGGGTCAACAGCAACCACTATGTACATGTAAAAAATGGCTATATATATACATCTAGGTCTCCCAGTAGTGTCCTCTTACCCTTTTTTGAGGGAGATTCGGTTCCCCTACTAAACTAAACTACTGTATAGCTGCTGTATATCCCATGAATTTCTGGCATTGGGCGTCAGGAGTGGCAGCTGCCCGCTTGGCTCCGCAACATGGAGGGCTACACCGCGGTGCAGCAGGGGTTCAAGGCGCCTCCCCCAAACACACCACACCACCCCCGCAAACACACCGGCGTCATGATTTTGACTGTTTCTGGGGGTTATCAAAGTCGGAAAATGGGGCTGTTTCCCTTTCACCCACCACTGAACCGGGGGTGACTTTGCTCGTGGTAAAATAATGCGGCCAGTATTTGTCTTTCCCAAGGGGGTGTGTTTGGGGCTTCCCCTTCAGGGCTGTACCTGCCACAATCGGACCGAGCGTTGGGATCGGATTGCACCCTGCCCCCCTCGGAACGAGCAGCTGTTGGGTATCTCCAATTTTCTTAAGAATACCTAGACTCTTCATGACCCTTAAAAAGGGCCCTTTCTTTTGGGTTCGAAGTGGATTTCGTCCATCAACAGTCGGGGGTCCCTCCAATTTCTCCTTTTTTGGACCTCCAAAAGTGGCAATTTTGTTGGACCCCACCAGTAAACTTACTTTAAAGAGGCAATCCAGGGACTCAGGACAATATTTGTGTTGTTCCCCAGATAGCTCAAAGCTATGGGGGTTCTAACTTCTAATAAAGAGGGGAATGTGATTTGCAAGATAGATGGGCTGGTGCAAGGGGGCGTGCAGTTTGGGGTGCTGGTGTAGGTGCTGTTTGGGGTGCTGTTTGGGGCGCTGTTTGGGGCGCGTTGGAGGTGCTGGTGAGATTGACGGCTGAGTGCTAGCGGGCATGCAGGGTGACGGTGCGGGCGCATCTTTGCAAGATTGACGGTAGGGTGCAAGGGGGCATGCAGTTTGGGGTGGCGGTGCTGGTGATGGCGCGGGTGCATTTTCACGAGATTGACGGCTGGGTGCTTTGGGGCTGCTGTTTGGGGGGACGGTGCGGGAGCATTGTTGCGACAGGGTGTTTGGGGCGCTCTTCGGGGGGTGCTGTTGGAGGTGCTGGTGTGCATGTTGTTTTTTGGCTATCTGGGGCCTGGGGTCTATGCTGGTGTAATGTTGGTTTTTTACTTCTGCTCATGGCACGAAACAAAGGCTTTGGGCCCGCAAAGTTCGCTGAGCGAGTCTGAGGCGCACTCTCAGGTATTGTGGATGGTTGGAAACCCTGGGAGGATTCGATTTCCCAACATAAATACCAACAAACGTTGTGGCTTCAACCATAGGTGTTTTATGCGTGCGAACGGATTTCGCAGCCATCCGCGGTATGGCCGAACCAAGAACCCCTTACTCCGCGCACCGTCACACCAACTTCAAGTCTGAAGCAGCTGCAAACCAAACTCTAGAATGAATCCGGCCCTAAAGCACCTTTGCACGTCGAACCAGGGAAATTAAATACCATGCGCACGCCAAACCAAGGCTTCAAGCAAACCCACTCGCAAATAACAGCAGACACACATCCTTCCACCACCTCTTTGTGTGTTAAGTGCCACCCGTTTGCTTTTTGCTGCGGATTTCGGAGCATTCCCCATGGTCAACGGGAAAACAGGGTGGTTCCCCTTGTGTTTACCTTTTGGCTCACTGGTTGTAACTGGAGCCTTGGGCTTTCCCCAAAAAATAAGCGCCAGCGACACACAACTGGAATCCCTGGAAGGGTGTGTGTGTGTGTGCCTAGACTCATGACATCTCATGACCCTTTAAACATGGGATCATTACCCAAAAGAAAGGGGTCATGACCCCATTTTTGAAGGGTCATGGAGAGTCTAGGTGTGTCTTTTTGTTTGAGGACACCCTTTTCAGCTCGGTGAGAAAGGAAGACACACAGGGACACCCACAGATACCGAAAGAAACACACACACACAGATACCTTTTTTTGACAGGCCAAGGAGTGGGAGAAGCAGGCGGAGCGCAACCAGCCGCCTGGCTTTGGGCCCCATTTTTGTTTCCAGCATAGAGTTGTTTCAGCTTCCCTCCAATCGGGTGGTTCGGAGCCCGGTGGGTTGGCGGTTAAGGGTCGGTTCCCCTTTTACCTTCAACAAGAACCAATGGCTCAGATCCCACCAATCCCAACCACAAAGTACTGGATACCTGATCGCTTGAAACCCAAAGACCTATTTTGAGGCTGATTGGAATTTCCATCCAGAGATTTGCATTTTTTATGCCATTCCTCGTGTTTTGTTCTTCGAGTGACTCCAGTGTTTCAACACACTGACCTCACTTGCGATTCGCGAGGAGCCGAAAGAACCTCGATAAATGTCAGCTTTCCCAAGAGGGGGGAGGGGTGCGCACACTTTTTTCTGGAGCTCAAAAAACCCTCTATTTATGGGCTCCCCATGTATCTATGCATGGGCTATGAAATTGTTACTGTGGATGGACGAAATCCTGCACCATGGTAAAACCATGGGAAGCATCCTCCGCCTTATTAAGGTATATCCTTATGGGATGTGGGTGTGTCTTTTGCGAGATTGTTTTTGGTAATTAGTTTTAAAGGGACACCAAAAGTCTAATCACCATTTTATGGGGTCCAACTTAATAAATGTCGACACGGCCATGTATTCCTTGGAGCCCCTGTCAAGGTGCAACCTTTGTTTTTCTCGCTCCACCCAGAGGCTCCCGAGATTGATTTAGGGGCTTCAAGCCACCCGGTTTTGAGACCCCCAACCACCTCCAGGGTGCCAATGGAGGGGTCGGGTCTTCCATTGAAAGCCGAAGCCAGGAGCCTCTGGGCAAAGCCCTTCCCCCTTTTCGGACCTGTTTCTTCCTCCAACCCCCCCCCCCAAACCCCCCCCCCACCCGAACCCCCCCACCCCCGCCTTTTTCCAACCGAGGCGCGTGTGCGGGCACCGGAACCCCACAGGGGTGGCCACTTTGTTCCGCAGCGACCGCTTCACGGAGGCGGCGCCTTGCAAGTTCGGCTCAGGCGCGGGGAACATGAAAAACAAACGTGCGCGGGCGCGCGAGTCGAGAGAGGCCAAAAAGGTTGGCCTTAGGAAACTTGGGGTGGACTTGGGTTTGGCCATTTTAGTTGTAAAGAAACTGTTTGGTGACTTGTTTTGGCCGGTCCACTCAGGAAGTGAGACCTTGGTGCCCTCTCAACGGGCAAAGCCAGGTTCCAATCAAAGTGTTGTCCTTTGTTGATATTCCCATCCCCAAGCCCCCAAATTGAAAAGGACTCATCGTAAGGACTCATCGTGGAACCCGAACAACAATCCATACTAATCCACCAGGCTGATCAATGAGGGTTCGACCAAATCCCCCATGAGACCCCCACAAATGGGGCGGAAGCAGCTCGCGTCACCTTCTGGGTGCGGTCTAGACTAGTCATCCAGGAATCAGATGGGCCTTGCCAGCTTATTTCACTGTTGTTGTGTTTTGGAGCATGGGGTGGATGACTATGGTTTCCTTCGGGAACGAGGGAACAAGACAACACCTGAACATCACAGTTTTTGGTGGGTTTGCTTGCTTCATAGGGCATCCCCCGTTTTTGGTAGGGGTGCGACCTTTCTCTCTCTTCCGGAACCCATCCACTGAAAAGTAACATGTCGACATGTTTGGATTCTCAGATCCCAGGCAAAAAAATGGAAAGATAAAAAACACCCCACCGCAACCCCCCAAACCTCAAATGTAGCATTAGTCAACCTTGGCATTGCGAAAATCATTTGAGAGGTCCCACCCACTCACAACCCCCGTTTTCCAGACCCGGGTTCGCGAATTGCACATCGCAAGGCTCTGGATTGGCCGTGTTCCTCCGTTGCCTGGATGCCGTGCCGGGAGGCAAAGCTGGCTCAGTGCTCTGACCCTATGACCCCATGACCCAATGCTCAGGGCTTGAAGCCTTGCAGGGGCCAAAACAAGGCGCATTCAGGGTCTTTCTTGCAAAGGTCCGCCAGTGGTGCCCTTCTCTCCCCTTTGTTGGTTGGGAGGGTTCCCCTACCAAAATAGACTACAGAAAGAAAGGTGCCCTTGTTCTAAGCTCTCAAATCCGGAGGACCCAGTTGCCTTCTCGTTGGTTTCCCCATGTGCCGAAGCGGATTCCCAAGGTCGACGCTCGCATTTTGTTTGCACCTCTTCCGAGCGTTCTGAAAATCTCCAGCCTGCGTTGGATTACCCTCAGTTGCCCAAAGCCGACCTTTTGACCTTTTGGTTTCTCCTTTTTGGTCTAGTTTTAGTCATGACCCGAAAAGGTTAACCTTTTATTTCTGGGTCCTTTGGGCAAGTGAGTACCTGCACATTGTTGATTGACCTCATGGTCAGCAGGAGAAGTGGTTTGTGTTTAACGTCGGCTTGCAATCTTCGGGAAAAGCGCGGGATCCATGAGGGGCATTCCTACATATTCCTACCCTACGTGTTTTTTTTCACAACAAGAGGGACTCAGTGGTGACATGTCCCTCTGGTGGGTACTTGCTCGTCCTCCTAGTACGGAGCCCATCCCCCCAGCCCCCCTTTGAGCGCGGGGATCCAGCAGGCAAACCTGTGGTCGTGTAGTTTGCTCAGCTGATCGAATTTGGATCATAGGCTTTTCTTCAAGCCAAGGCTGGGCATGTCGGGCCGAGTACGCCTAAGGTCACGATCACCAGCTCGCATGTCCCTGCGTTTGAAGCAGCTTTCGTTTGAAGCAGCGAAACGAGCAGCTTTCACTGCGCATGCCCTGAAGGTCACGTTTGAAGCAGCTTTCACTTCTATACACTTGGGGGTGTCTTCTTTTGAGGTTGCCCTTTTGGGGTGAGTTAGGGAGACCAAAGGCACCTATTGTGGGGGTCCAATCCCTATTTTGGAGACAAACCCACCAGACCGAGCACGGGCCAGGAGAAGGCAGCATGGAAGTGGCCGTGGGCGACTCGCCGGTTGTTCGGATTCAACAGTTGTGGGATGTCCTTTGAAGAATGCGTTGTTGGGTGTTTCTTATTGGAATCCTGGTTTGGGGTGGACCTGTTCATCCTTGAGCCTTAATCCTATGCCAGATGGCTTTTCTTCGTGGTTTTATTGGGGAGGTGGGACTCCATCAAAGTGACCAGCCATGTTCACTCGTGAGAAACAATGCCATTGAACATGATTTGAGTTGAATTTCATTCACGCGGCAATTGGAACCGGCCAGGCCCCGGCACTCTTCAGGAGACCCTTTGGGTGGATTCCATGGGGAGTCGGAGCTTGCCAAGTATTCTTACCTCTTAAAAACACAACTTTTCAACTTTTTGGGTAACATGGGCTATATGTCTGTAAAGGTTAACTTCCCCAATCCTTGGAGTTTTAAGGAGTAAGTATTTGTCGGATGCTTCAGTTCATTTGCTTCAGGCCACGTGTACAGCCGATTTGTTTGTCGTCAACGTTGGTTCAGATGTTCGGAGGTGTCAGCGTGAGGCAAGAGCTCACTTTTCTCCAGGAATTCACGGAGGAATCTCCTGAGGCAGCCCTCCCTGTTGGGTTCCATGTTTATCATTTGCAGGCGGAAGAATGAATTGATCATTTGGCGTGGTTTTACTTATATAGGGGGTGTCTTCTCTTTTTAGGATTCTGTTTTCATAGTTCCCATATTTCTCTTTTGAAGTGAGTTTCCTTTTGGTGGACCAACTTGAAGTGAGTTTTCCTTTTTGGTGGGGCGATGCCTAAAAGGAAGTTCTGGGTCAGCCGAGGCAACCTGCACCTGATCGGAGACCCCGAGAGATCTGCAGAGCAACTTAAGGCGGAGGGCTCAATCCTTGTGCGATGCCGGTACTTAGACGGGGCTCGCTGTTTTGACTCTTTTTGGGGTTTGTCAAAGTCATTTGCCCGCACAAACAAAAAGAAGAATGTCATCTCGCCCAATTGAAACTTGATCCAATTTCCTGATTTGTCCTCAATCCCGCAGAACGGCCACCTACTACAGTACCTTCTCCCGCAGACCTCCTTGGTTACGAGGGGTTTGTTCTTTGTTTCCATATATACCAATCTTACATTTTGGGACTTCCATCGTCGCCGCAGCCAAACGGCTAGCTTTGCATATGACCACGTCATGAAGGGACTTACAACCAAGGCGTAAGCATGGGTGCCGAGCACACGATTCGTCTTGGGCCATCCAAGACCCTTCGAAGCTCTTATTCACCCTTTAGCTAGCTTCCAGGCCGGAGTCTGGGAAGGCGCCTTTTTTTGCCACTTGGGGGCGAGCCTGGTATGACTTCATGTGGCTTTTCTTTTTTGGGGGGCTAAATCGCCCATCATTCTCATTTTACCCAAGGTGGAGCCCAAAGCAAAGAAGAAGATGGGGCAGTTTTTTCCTTGAGAGGGCGGCTCGCTCTGGCCTGGTGTGGGCCTATGGAACCGTGGCGTTTTTCGCCGGCAAAAGGCTGATCTTGAGATGGGTGAAGTCTAGGCCCACTCCCGGATCGTTCCTGGACTTTAGTTACTTGGGTCAGCGTTTCAGTGGTAAATGGTAAAGAACAAGTTTGGTGACTTGTTTGGTCAGCCCACTCAGGAAGTTAGGTGAAGCCCATCCGCTTTTTTGCCGAGACGACTGGACATGGAATGGACGTTAACCTATTTTAACCCCACCCTCACCCAGATAATTAGGGGGGGGGGGTTAGCTGCCTCTGTGGACAGCTTGCGACGGCCACAGGCCCTGAACAGCCTCAAGAAGAACTTGGGGAAGCAGGCACTTTGCGCAGTGCCCTTCTCTCCTGTTTCTTTTTGGGGAGGGCTCCCCTACTAAAATGACGTCCTGAAAAAAGTTGGTGCCCTTATTCTAACCTCTCAAATCTGGAGGACCTAGTTGCAGACTGAACTGGCCAAGGCGTTTGGATCCGTAAGTCATGGGTTGGAATCCGTTCCAAGTGGGTCAATGAGCCCCCCAACTTGAAAGCATGGGTCCCTCCAACCGCGTCAACGCGTTGCAGAAGGCTCCTTTCTTGAAGTCGAGTTTGCTTGGAAAAAGGCGAGTTCCTACTGTGGATAATCCAGAAATCGCACCACCGACCTAAGAAACCCTGCAAAAATTCGATTCCCCGGCGTAAATACCAACAAGCGTTATGGTTCCCCATGGCTTCTTGTGCAGGGTTTTGCCTATCGGTTCTGTTTGGACTGGAGGGCGGTCAGGGGAAAGCCAGGTTTGAACCATGGAACCGGGAGAGGTTTCCCCATTTGACTCTCGCGACCCAAACTCTTTCGAAGGGTTCTGACCTGTCCCCGTTTTCTAGCTGCCTGGTGGGTAGTCAACTCAGCTCATTTCCCTCCCCCCTCGAGGTTCCTGGAAAACCCTTCATTTTCCTTTACTGGGGCCCCCATGTGGCTTTCATGTTTGTTGTTGGGAGTGCCCGCATTACAAACCCCATGAGTGGAGAAAACCCTGTTCGTAGTGGGATCTGACAAAAATCGCGAAGCACCTACTTTGTCCTTGAGTCTTGGTGCTGGGCCCACACACCGGAGGCACGGAGTATGGCCCGCGCGGGAATTAAAGAGACTGGGTGCTAACTTGCATATATTGCTCAAGCAAAACTCCCAAAGAACCCACACACACACACTTTGTTGTATCAAGAATAGTCAGACCCCCTATGTGTTTTTTTCACACCCAAGTCACTACAACCACAAAAACAAAGAAAAACGACCCCGTAGTTTTCACACCCCGCAGATGGCAGGACCTGCGGATCATTTGCGGCGACTTGAACTCCGAGTGCGAGCCGCTGCCTCAGCTCCGCTGCCTGAGCTCGGAGGAAGCCAGCAGGGCTGGGGCATCAGGCCAGTCTGGGCTTCTGGGCCTATCGCACCCGGTTTTTCCCCCGCCGAAGACCCACTTCCAACGGGTCGTTGCTGGACTTGGGACCTTCTTGGCCTTGCAGACACTCTTGCCGGCAAACAAACAACAGCTTGGGGCTTGGGGACTTTTGTTTGACCATTCACTCAGGAAGTGAGAAGACTCTCCCAGACCCCAGCTTTACGTGGTCGGACCAAGCCCAGTACCAGGTGTTCGTTACCCCCCAACCAGGTTCCTTCCGCAGGTGTTCGTTTCTCTTCTAGGTTGTCAGTAGTGCCCTTTGACCCTTCTTTTGGGGAGGGCTCCCCTACTAAACTAGGTCACGGCGTTGCTAATGACCACGCTGCTTTTGACCATGGCGACCAAGCACGTTTACCAAAATTCCTGCGTTTTATGAACATTTCGTTGCATCGTTGACACGCACCATGTTTATTTTGTTCCATTTTTCCCATGGCTTTGACAAGAAAGGGCCAAATCGCCTGAGAATAGCAGCACTTCGCGCTGCTGGCCAACACACGCGCGTTTCTTGAGGCTGCCGGCCTCTTTTTTTTTCAAGGCAACTTCTCAAAGCTCGCGAGCGAGCCGCCTTCATCTGTTTCCAAGTCATACATAGCCGGAAATTGTGGCCTCGCTCAAAAATAGCAGCACTTCGTGCCGCTGACCAACACACGTGCGTTTCTTGAGGCTGCCGACACCAGGACAAAGGGCTTCGAGCAGATATCGCACCAACAGATGCCGCAAAATGCGCGAAAGGATCAGACGAACCAGCGAAAACTTCAAAGTGAGCGTCCAACAAGAACGGATCACACGTCCAAAATGCCTGGAACCACGAGTCAACAATGGGGCAGGGTGCACACGCGACACGCAGCAGCAGAACGTAGGCAACACAAAGAGCGAGAACAAAATGATGACCCATGGTCCTGGAGCCAAAGGTTGGGCCAGTGAATGCCTCAGGGGTGAAAGACGCATCTGCAGCAGTTGAGCGGGTGTGCTTATCATGCCCCCCAACCCCCCCCCCCAGAACCATGTTATTTTGTAATCCGGTAACAGAGCAGGCTGGTCTGCAGCAGTTGAGCGTTGAGCGGGTGTGCTTATCATACCCCCCCACCCACCCCCCCCCCCCGCCCCCGAACCATGATGCATGAACGCAGGGATGAACGTCCAAAAAACAAAGAACTCCACGGGGTCGTGAAGGACGCCGTGAGCCAAAATAAACTAGACTACAGAAAAAAGAAAGAACAGTTGGTCGCGTGTTCGTGTCTCCCCGCGGTACCGCAGGATACCGTCGGTTTCTCTTCGCCGAGGCCCGGCAGCGACCTGGGGAAGTGGTTCGCGGAGGAGGGCTACTCAGAGGCTTCGCCCGCAACGGCCGACCGTTGCTTCGGGTTTTGGTTTTGGGCTTGGGTTTTGGGTTCACAGGTGCATGGTTGGATGCTAGGACTTTGTGTTAGGACTGAATGACTTTTGGCCGTAACTAATTTGTTGTCCATTAAACCATAAAAAGTTAAACCTTTGGCGGGGGAGCAGAAAGCAAACTCAGTTTGATTTCGTCTGGGTTCGGTTGCAGGGTGGTGTTTTCCCCTGCTTGAAGCGAGCCGTATCGGACGCACTGGCTCCAAGCTAGCCAGCAAAATCCATGTTTTGACACACGAATCAATCAACAACGCGCACGCGGAGAGTGGAAGGTGTGGACCGCTTTGCCGGTTTTGGGGTTTCGGGGTTTCGGGGTTTCGAGGTTTCGAGGTTTCGGGGTTTCGGGGTCATGGTTCCAGAAAGAAGGGGGAGGTTCAGGCCAGCTTCTGTGATACCAAGCAGACCCGTTTAAGTCATAGAATGGTCAAGCTGATGGCCAACTTTGGTATCACAGGCAGGGATAATTTGCTGGTTAGTGGGGGGTCACCAAGCGGCCTGGGAATGAACTGTTTTGGATGCCCAAAACGAAGCCACCAGTTGGATGGTTCAGTTCCCTTTCCACCTTCTTCCCTATTCGGAACCTTCAAGAAACCAGCCCAAACCGCGGGTTCAATGGGAGATACAACGAAAAGGCCAGTGCATAAAGGGAATATTGAATATTGCTTGACAGTTACCATGTAAAAGGGCAGAAACATCGGGATAGAGTCACAGACAGGTGTAAATTCCATTCATCACTGTAAAGGTACGCTCCACCTCCTTTCGCCCACCCAAAACTTCACCATGCCTAGATTCCAGGTTTTTGAATAGATACTCTACCTGTTGGATGGTTCAGCTCGGGGTTTCAACTCATTGGGCTTCGGATTGACTATTGTAAGCTTCTTTTAGCCACTAAACATTGCCACTCTGCCTGTGTTTCGGTAGTCTTCAAGGGATCTATTTATGGTTTCCCCTAGGAACCTGTTTTTTTTGCAGTTGCGTGATGCCATTGTTTTGCGAGTTTCGGGGGGGGGGGGGTCAGTGGATCCATATGGATTTTCTATTAAAGTCAGTTGAGCCACAATCAATACCCGGGTAGATGAAGGTTATTAAGGGACAATCCCAGCCATAAACTGTTTTTGGCCGCCTTTGGTATTTCCTTACATACCCTCCTACCCCCAACCATTTTGATACCGGGTTTTGATTGTGACTCAGTTGGATGTCTGGAAACCAGTTGAATGTCTGGACTTTGAATGGATTTCCGGGATGTATTGAGAATTAATCCACGTGGATCACCTAGACAACTCTGTTGGAGTTCTTCAACTTCGGAAAACAAAAAAGAGTTCCACCTCCTTTTTTGCCTCAAACACCTCCATGCTCCACGCCCAGTGGGAGGTTTTTCTCAGCTCGAAAAACCTCCATTTGCTTAAGAACATGTTTTATTGTCCCTTGCTGGTTTTGAAGGGAATCTATCACTACGGGACATTTTTATTTATTTTTTCCCAGGAGGCTTAAGCAAATGGAAGACTGGCATCATGTGTGCCGGTTGTGCCTGTTTCTCGCTATGTGTTCCTTTGAAGTTCGGAATGGAAACAAGCGCCCGATGCAGAAGGAACCATTTGGGCAACCTCGTGGGCCAGGAAGCAAATGCAGGGCTCCTCAAAAGATACACTTCGCCCATTTGAAACATGGCTTGTTCCACCAAAAAAAAAGGGAGCCCACGCTTTACAAGGCAGTGTTCAGGTGTATGCATCCGGATCCCTGTTAAAACCATGCTTGAAACCGTGGTTTGTTGGTGTTTCCGCGGTGGGTCGCACTCAAAACCCATGGAGGAAAAAGAGAGCCCGCGAGGTGCCCTGCGGGAGCTCCTGGGCGGAGCCGCAGAAGAGTTTGCGCCTGGACCACATCTTCTCCCGGCGCCTGGAGGTCAGGAGACGACTTTCAGGGCCGCCCCTAAAGCCCAAAAACCTAAACCTGGCGATTTTAGGGTTTTTAGGGTGTTTAGGGTTTTTAGTTTTTTTTTTTTTTTTTTTAAGGGTTTTTAGGGTTTAATTTAGGCGGGTTTAGGGGACTTTGGGGTTTAGGGTTAAGTTTTTTGGGGCGGTTTTGCCGGACTTGTCGTGGTCTCCACGGCACGGCGTGAGTCCTGAGCAGTACCGGTGGTACCTGGGGGCAGCATCGCGCTACTCCATACCATTGGCTTTTTGGGGCGGTGTAAAAGGAAACCAAGCAATAAACCACGGAAAAGTGGACAGGGGGGTTGAAAGGAAAGTTGTCTCAACACCTTCTGTCAGCGTGCTGCAAAGAGGGTAAAGTGGTTGCATTTGGACTGGGCTGTTCAAAGGCGTGGGTTTCGCAAGGAACCTGTCCCCTTTGAAAGTAGCTTTCCAATGGGGATAATGGATCAGGATTGACCAGCACTCCATTTTGAAGGGCCGAAGGAAAACCATCAGTTTAGGGGATCCCCCATTTTAAGACACCCACACGGGCAACGACATCACGAGTCGACTGGCGGTTGCGAGATGTTGAATACTCACTTGCCCAAAGCGAATCGACCTCTTTATTTTCTCACTTCCCGAGTTCATGGACTTGAAAGTGTTTTGGGTTTGCAGTGGTGCCCATTTCTTCCCTTTTAGGGGTGTCCCCTTTAAGGGTATCTCTGGGTTTGGAGTTTTTCGCTCTTTTGGCTGGTGCGACAAGTAGGGAATGAGTTGGAACCCCTACTGTGGATTGACGAAAACCTGCACCACCTAGCATGATGATTGGCCTGTGAATACCAACAAACAATGTTGTTGTTTTTTTTTTAATGGTTTCAAATGGTGCAGGATTTGGTCCACCCACAGAATGAACCATCCAACTGGTGGTTTCCTTTAAGCTCAACCCCCACAAAAGAAAGGTGCCCTGGCGGATTCGGGTTTGTTCCGCAGGGCCGGCTTCGTCCAACCTCCAGGAAGCAAGGATACATTTCTGAATCATTTTGGATGCTAGACCTTGGATTTCAACGCCATGTCCACATGAGTCTTCGCCAGGCCGTTGCTTGCACCGACGGCCTCACGCCAGAAGAGGCGCGTTGAACCGGGCCGTTGCCGGGTCAGTTTACTCCCCAGATTCACGCAAGGAAACCAAACAGTCACAATTGGTAGAGGAAACTCCTGATGGAAATTGGACCCCCCTTTTGGCTTCCATGTTAATTGGTCCCCTAAAAGGAGTTTCCTCTAAAATGAAATGACTGGGCAGCAGTTCAAAGTGCACAGAAAAAGCAAACACGTGCAAGATGCTTCCTCCACATTCAGAAACCATTGGAAACCAGCAATAACATACATCAGCCCGCTTAGAACGAATAATCTTCCAGTGACCTCCTCCCCTCAAGTTTTTGCATTGCGCCCTGGCCAGTGGAATGGGCTGATAGCGAGAAGGGCTAATCAGCAACTGGGACGCCCCCGAAGCATGCCGCTTGGTTATCATGTTGACTACAAAAAACGCTGGGTTTTACCGGGTTTTGTTTGTGACTCATTGTACGGTAAGGGGCTCCCTAACACGAAGGGTGCCCGAAAAACGCCTCCAAATCGCCTCCAGCGGTCGGTTGTGACTCAGGTGGTGTGATTTCTGGGTTGTGAATCCCCTGTACTTTGCCGCATGTTGCCAAGGGATGTTCGGACTTTAACTTTTTGCCAACTAATGGGTTTTCCGTATTAAACCACTAAAAGTTAGTCACTTTTAGCAGGGGAGCAGAAAGCAACAGGTGGCCAGCGGCCTGCCGTGCAGCTCAGTGCCCTCAGACCACTTGCCGGTGGCGGCGTTGTTTGGGGCTGTGGTGAAGACCAAGTGCCCCTGGTAGGCGCGGATCGGGGAGGGGGGTCTGGAGGGTAGAGGTGGGTGGGGCGAACTAGGGTGGACACTGAACTAGTTTGCATGCTGTTTGTTTAGGGTGTTGCTTTTTTAGTGGTAAGCACAGGGGGTGTCAACGACTTTCCGCATTTTGTACTATTGCTTGTCTTGGATAGGTCGGGGATGGGGTTGACCAGGCTGGGCCTTTACCACTTGTTGGGTGGCTGATATAATGATGTCTCTGTTCTCCTTCTTTTTTAAGGGGGGAAGGGGGGAGGGGAAAGGGGAAGGAATGCAGCACAAGTTTGGCGACAATGATTGCATGTTGTGCTGTTTTTGAATTCGGGCCAATGTTGAAAAGGGACAAGCTTAAAGTCCCCCAACAGTTCACAACATTCAAGTAATTCAAGTAATGCAACAGGAAGAAAGAGTAGACTCATCGTTTTGTATTATTCACATACCACGTGTCGCTCTCCGACGCAACGCGTGGCGGATGCTTTGTGTGAGTTTGACGTAGGTCTTGCACCTTTGCTCTTGGCATTGAGATATACAAGGGGCGAAATGATTGCTAGTAGTTTTTCTCCCATGATCATGAAACATGGCTGGTCTTTGGCGCACCTCAGCCCCTGAGACCTGCACCTCAGCCCCTGAGACCTTGTAGGAAACAATTGCTCTTCCATGAAATCTACAAACGGTTAGGCCTGCTCAGGGCGGAAGAGCAACCCAGAAATGTTTGGTTTTCAAGTGGCCCGATCTCCGCAGCCGTTGGCAGGCGCCGATCTCCGGCGCGTCTGAGATGCGGAGGGCGACTGTCCGACGGCAAGTCTCCATGTAGGTGTCCATTTTGGCGGTGAAGGTGTGTGTTTCTTGAGGGTACCTATTTTCCGCTTGCAGGCAAACCCCAAGGAACATCACTGTTTTGGGCTTCCCCCTATTTTCACTCGGTTTGGTTCCAAACATTTGCCGGTGCTGTTCATTTTCGCAAAAAGGACACCTACGCTCCCTCGCTGGTTGGCTGCAAGCGCACTAAGCCCGACCCAGTTAAACCGGGAAGCATGAGCTGGGCATTGGTCGCATGCGCTCCGTGTCAGAGCAGGTGATTGTTGCCCCTTCCGCCAACATGCAATATCTCAAGAAACAATTAAAGGCGCAGTAGCTTAGAGTTTGACAAGGCGTTTGAGCAGCTTGCTTGTACTGTTGCCAGCCGTGGCCAAATATGGCTCGAGCATTTGGCCAAAGGAATGCTTGTCAGGGGCGCTCCCTTTCTTACATCCCACCCTGCCATTTGCGCGTCCTGTGCCGCGCCCCTTCCGCGCCCCGAACGCCGACGCCCCGCCGCTTTCGCCGCTTCCGCCGCTTCCGCCGTCGCGCTCGCCGGGGCGCGGCGCGCGGAGCGGACGGCGCGGTGCGCGGGACAGGCCATGAGTTGCGGCGCGTCGGTGTTTATCGCCACCAGCCTCGACGGCTTCATCGCCAAGACGGACGGCTCGGTGGACTGGCTGCCGCCCGCCAGAGGACACATGAGATGGTCAACATATCAGGGACCCACTGCATGTCCCTTCCTACTTTGCTCATGTCCTTTAGGGCATCCATTTGATACAGGGTTGCACACCAATGACTAGTCTCACCCGTTTTGTTTCTTCTTTTTTTCTTTTTGTTCTTTCTCTTTTTCTTAGGGTACTTTTTGGGTTTGGTGTGTTGCTCAAATATGGGAATTCCGAATATGCTTTGTGTTGTAGTGGGAAGCGTTTACCTAAAGTGTCAAAGTGGTTGGTTTCCTCTTGTGAGGGCGTAAGCAATTAGAATGGACTGGTTTCCTAATCTTGAAAGGGTACCCTCAAGCACACACTCAAGTGGCATGTAGAAAGGGGGGTTCTTCTTTCAAACCATGATAGGCACATCAGGGCTGCAAACCTAAACTCGCTCCGGTCTTTCAAACCATGATAGGCACATCAGCGCTGCAAACCTAAACTCGCTCCGGTCTTTCAAACCATGATAGGCACATGAGCGCTGCAACCCAAATTCGCTCCGACCTTTTCGGGGCGAAACAACCTGCCTCGCTTGTCGCCTGAACTGAAGCGCGCAAGGAACGAGTTCAGCGCCACGCTGCCGGAGGGGGAGGACGGAGGCTTCGGCGAGTTCATGGCATCGGTGGATGGCCTGGTGATGGGACGGAAGACCTTCGAGTCCGTGCGGGATATGGAGGCGGCTTCGAAGCATAGCTTATTTGTTTGTTGTTGCCGTTACAAACAAGAGTGCTTTATTGTAGTATTATTAGTGTTATTGTTATTATTGTTAATTTTCATTTTTGGTGTTATTATCATTAGTAGGAGTATGTATTATTATGCATTATGTATTATTATTGTCATTATCGTTATTTATTATTATTATTATTAGTAGTAGTAGTAGTGTTATTTACTATTTTTATTAGTTATTCTTTATATTATTGTTATTGTTTATTAATCTTATTATTATCATTGTGTTATGTATTATTCTTCTTGTTTTGGGGCTGTTTTTTTTTCTCAACGGCTGAACGGTTTTTTTGGTCTCTGCCCAGATAAGCTCTGGGGTTGTTTGGGGCAGGGAGTGGCGGATCACAAATGAGCAGGGGTTCCCTTTTTACCACAAAGCAACCAGCCAACGAGAAAATGCTAGGTTTCCATGCACCAGCCACTTCCTGTTGAACCTTAACGTCGCTCCCCCCCCCCCCTTCTCAACGAACTCTCGGGGACCCTCTTTAAGGGAACTGGGGGGTGGGGGGGGGGTCCAGCACTTAGGCTCCCCAATCCTAAGATTAGTGCCAACTCAAAGTTTGGTATTGCCAAAACTTGATCTCAGATTCCTTGTGCTGGGAAGAGCTTAGGGTGAACCACCCTTTAAATTTCAAAACTGAGGCCTTGATTTGAAAACTTCCTCAGCCCCCCCAACAAAGAAGGCTTGACATCAAGGAAGGCCCTGAACCCGTCACTTTAAACCGGATCCGGAGCTCCTGTACACAGGTTGGGCTGGTTGGTTGAGAACCAAATGACTTGGGGACTTGCAAAACTTAGTTCCAAGATCTAAGAACTTTAGCCCCCGGGCTGAGAAGGACGTAGATGAACCACCCTTTAAGACATATTTGGTAGATGGTATTGTGTGTGCGTGTTGCCCTGGCTTTCCCTCGGGAAAAGCACTGTCTATTGTTGTTGAAGACCCCCGAACACGCAAAAACGGTTGCGGCATCTTGAACTGGGAAAAGGGCACTCCATAATAGGCATCCCATTTGAGGTAATTTCCATATGAAGCCAAGCAGGCCAGGGCTCGTTTCTCAAACTGTTATATGATTTAGGGTTGACTAACCTCCAAAACTGTTATATGCTTTAGGGTTGTCTCAGAATGGAACAGAGTCAGAATATGTTTTTAGGTGTGGGCCAAATGGAACGGGGCCGGATGGGTATGGATGCACAAAATCCACTGGCGGGAATGAAGTGGATGAACCCCTAGAAATACTAGGATACCCCACCTGCCAAACGGTGCAGGATCTTGTGCATCCACGGCTTCAAGTATTGCTAGATTATTGCTAGCAAAATACGGGCCTGTGCCCAAACAGAGCAACACAGAGGCACCCCCCCAAAACAAAACAAATCCGTTTAAAAGAAGAAGTGAAGAAAACAATGTGGCTCTCCTTGGTGTCCCTTGCAACCAAGCACTCTACCCTGCAAACTAATTTTGTTTCAAAGGTTGCCCACTACGTATAGAAGTTCCCCAAAAACTGACGTGCCCACCAGACACAGAATATTCATGAATCACACACACACACACCAAAAAAAAGGAAAAAGAAAAACCAACTCAATCAAGCACAACTAGTTGTTTTGTTTGAAGGAAGGCTTCCGCTTCGTCGTTTGTTTGGCACCGAGGGCGTGCCCTGGCCGTATGGTGACACCCCCGTGTGGGTGCTGACCCGTTCGGGCGTGGAAGTGCCCGAGCGGCTGAAGGGCAAGGTGCGGACCACCTGCGGCACACCGCAGGAAGCGCAGTGCCAGCACAGAGGGCGGAGGGGTGGGGTGGGGGGTGGGGACCTTCCATTAGCTGAAAGGAATATGTTACCCAGTAGTGCCCCTTTTAACCCCTTTTTTGGTTGGGAGGGTTGCCCCATTAAAATCGACTACAGAAAGAAGTTGGTACCCTTATTCTAACCTCTCTACTGCAGGACCTTGTTGGTTTAAAAATGGATTCTGTTTCACTGCTGGAAATGTGTCTATGGTTTCCAGGGGGGGGTATTCGCAAATGGAGGTGACCCGGGTTTGTCATCTTGTTTGGCGGCTCGGCCACAGGCCCAAGCCAATGGTTGGTGAAAGCTCCTCATGCCACGACATGCCGCGGCTTTCAGGGGAGGGAGTGAGTCGCACTGGGCTGACCTTGGTTGCCTCTTTGTCCATTTGTTTGGTAGCGTTTTTGTTTTTGTGGCTTTGTTCGACAATTGAGTGGCTGTAAAGAGCTGATTCATGCTGTTGCTCACCTAGGGTTAGGATGATTAGTCCGCGTGTGGCAGACATGGCTGACCTACTTTGAATTGAAGACTGCCCAACCCTGTTGATTTAGAACTGCATGTACATCTTAGGCGCCCTTTGCTTTCCCTTGCACAAGCAAAAGGACATGCGGGCGTTCTACTTGTTCCCTTTCAGCAACCAAACCCAAACGCCAGTTAGGGGCTACCAGAAATATCCCTTCCAGAAAGTGGGACCGGACATAATCCCCATTGGGGTTGATGACGGGAAACCATTTGTTCAGCTTCAGATCGAGTCTAACCGCTGGGTCCCCGGGAAAGAACCTCCGGACGAGGAGATCTTGGAGCAGCTGGCGAAGAGCGGGTGCAAAGAGGTCTACGTCGACGGTGGGGAGACCATCCGGGACTTCCTGGGCGCCAAAGCCTTGAGGACGTGTTTTTTTTTGTGTGTGTGTGTTTTTGTTCTCCTTTTTTGTTCTCCGGGAGAGAGACGCAGCTGGCGTGTGGTCGTGTTTTTTTTGGGGGTAAGCCATGACTTGAAGCCTGGTAAATGGAAAGGAAGAACACCTGCAGTCCATGTCATGGTCATACTGCTCACTTTGCCGCGGGAAAGCAACACGTTACGCGGAAGAGCAAGATGGTGCATGCGGAAACAAAGGGTTCTGAAATTCAGGATAGTTCATGCAGAGAAAAGCTGGTTGGCAGATCAACATGGGTGGTGTAGGGAATCACAAGAAGACAAGCCACGTTGGGGTTCCCCCCGGATGATTCTCAGCAGGGATCCTTGATCCTCAGAGCCATAAGGGAGCCATTGCAGCCTTTTATTGGCCATTGCCAAAAGGGCCAACCACTCAGTTTAGCAGCTTGCCAATTTGACTGGTACCTAGGGTAACTCATAGGATTGACCAAAGCGCCCTTCTCCAAAAGGACGCTAAATGGCCTTATTGAGGCTGTAGTTGTCGGAAAGCAGGGGAGGGGGGGTCGATGGGTTTAGATCCTTCGCGCCTTTTTTTCCCCTCTGAAAAGGGACCTCCCCCTTGAATCAAACAGGTGCTGGTTGGTTCTGGGTTCCCACCTGCCCAAAAGTAGTTTAGAACTGGTTTGGGGCGGGGGCACCCCTCACCATGTTCCACAGGAGGAACCCAAGGTTTCCTTGCAGCCCTTTGACAGAAGTAGGTTTGTCCGACGGTTATATGCTCAGGAAACCCTCACTTTGCGGTTTGGATTGGTGTGGGAATTTGAACCCCTTCTTGCAGGGGTATTTTTTTACATGGTGAACTGCCCCATTTCACCACCAAGCCACCGATTCGGCTCCAAACTTTCCATTTGCTCAAGAATATCTTTGTTTTTCGCCTTATTGATTTTAAGTTGGAATCACTACTGAACATACTGTTTTATTTTTTTGGCCAGGGGCCGGGCAAAAGCCAAAATGCCCCCCGTGGTGCCATTCCGTGAGCTGTGAAGCCCGTGAAGCCTGTGGTCCACTTAAGCGCGTATAGGGATCTCGCTGATCCTACCCGCACTGCAGGCGGATCATCCTGAGCCGCATCCCAGTGACCCTGGGCGAAGGCGGGCCCCTGCCGGGGGGTTGGGGCCTGTTTTTGGGTTCAACAGGCACGTGCTTTTTCTTGCAGCTGGACCTGGTGCAAAAGAAATCCAAAGTTTGAAGTAAGCTACAAGTTGGACTTAATTCATAATGATATTGTAAATGCTAAGTAGCTCTCATTACAGATATAAATGTCTGTGGTGTCAGCTGGCTGTTTCCCGAACAGCTGAAAGCTTTGGGGTCGGCCTGGGGTGGTTTCGACCGGCAGGAAGGGTTCCGGAAGGGTGAAAGTTCCGGGGCTGTTGGGGATGCCACCTGGTCTTATTGGCGAACATGCTTGCTTCACCATTTTCATCAATCCTGAAAAGTGCTTGTGTTTCTTCTTGAGGTAAGTGATGATCAGAGGGAGCTATGATCTCTATGATCTAATACCTAGGGAAAAGCTGGATGTCACGATTCCGGTTTTTCAAAATCAGAGGGGATTTTCCGAGTCTTCGCCAGGAAACCGCTCAATCAAGATACCCCCTCATTGACATGCAACTGCGCAGGGTGACATCCCCACAAGTTGCAGATTCCTCACGGTTGTCTTGCTGGTTCTCAGCAGGTAATTTCCAATTTTTGGGGAACAAACAGTTTGGGCATCCCCAAAAAGGAAACAACAAGGGATGCTTCGCAGGTGTCCTCATTCTTTGAGAGGCAGCAAGATTTGGAGTTCCATGTTTCTCAAGGGGTTACCGGGCATTGCCAATTAGTCATATGTGTTTTTGTTTGAGGGTATCCACGTATAGTACAGGGAAACGGAAAGGGCACCACCCATTTTGGGGGTACGGGTCCCTATTTTGATCATCCCATTATTATCGGTCTTCAGAGTTGGGCTGATTACAAGCGCATATGGCTGCGTCTTTTGCTTTAAAGCCACCAAACAGACAGTACCCTCCAAGAAACACTCTCCCATGTTCGTTTGGGGCGGTTCATGGCACGGTCAGGCCGACCCCTCTTCAGCGCAGAACAGGAGGCCCAGCTGACGGAAGTGAGCCGCAAGACGTTGCCAGGCGGCATTGTGCAGGTCACCTGCACCATGTGAGCCGCTTGGGAATTTCTTAATTTGGGGCTGTCCTTCTTTCAGCTCTAGGGGTGGACCCCCTTGAAAACATTGGAAAACCATCCCCCGCAAAGGCAGGGGGTTTTCCTCCCCTAGCCGCACATCCCGACCTGGCTGGCCGCGTTCCCCTTCCCGAAACGTCTGGATTTGACCTGGAACTTGCCTGAGATGGCGGTCACGTGAAGCTTTCGCTTGGTTGATTGCATCATTTCAGTGGCTAAGACAGTGTCGGCTTCGTGTTGCCATTCGCGGCGCGTAAGTGACATGCGCGGAGTGCCCATGGTCGCCGCGCGGTCTGGGCAACTTGTAAGTGGCCCACTCCTTAGTTCCAGGGTAATTTGCCCAGCTTCCTGGGTGCTGAATCGCAACCAACCTTTTTAGTCTACCTGGCGGGAAACCAAATCATCATTGGGAGGTGTGTATTGTAGCGCCAGACCCTCAACTGTGGCACCCAGATTTGCGCGCGTCTCAAATTGCCCAAGCCCTCCTTTGAAGGGCGCAGGAGAGCCATAGGTACCTACGGATGGAGGAAAAAGCGGGCAGAGTCACACGCGCCCAGCATGGCAGCCGGCCGCAGTTTGCCAGCGAAGATTGCCCTTTCTGAAGGCACAAGCCTTTGGCAGACAACCCGATGGAATCCCTTTTGTCGAAGAAACCCGTAGAACAAATTATGCAGGAACTCCTTGCTTTGGGTTGGTGTTGGCGTTAGATCAATTTCCTGCAGGAGTTCCTGTAGTTCCTGTAGACATTGCATTGCACTTTGGTTCGCCAATTTCAGGTTGGGCAACAGCTGAGCTGAGCTTGGAATGTGACGGATGCCCGCCAGATCCATTGGTGCATGTCGCAAGTCGCCAAAGCTCCTCGCAGTGCTGTGGAAAACTCCTGTAGTTGTTTTTGTATATCCCAGGATCTTTCCAAGCAGACAGCAAGCAAGTAAGACATTGGAGACAGCTATTCATAGCTATTCGCACAATCAGCGAATTGCTCCTTGGCACTTGGACCATCGGCTTTACGTAATAGCCAAACAAGGTGGCGCCTGCTCAGCATCAATGAATCTGTCTAGTCTAGAGTCTGGTTGTTTGCACGCCAAAGGGCCGGAGAAGGCTTGTGTAAATATAATGCTTCTTTGATTGGGTGGGTTGATCATACCCCACCGGGACGGCCGAGGTATCTTGAAGTTTTGCAGCTGTCTTTGTTCAAAAGGAATAGGGTTGATGGTGCCTGGTCAAGCTTGAGACATGCGAAACGCCAAGTTGGCAGACACATCCTTGCAGTTTAGCTGTTCCAATTTCGATACGTTTTAGCCTTTTTGGAAGAGTTTGTTACAGCGAAAAATCCATCTCTTAGTCCTCCCCCCCCCTCCCCCCCAACCCCCCAGCCGCCATATTCATACATATATATATATATATATTACAGGGCTCCTTAAAAGGTACGTTTTGCCCATTTGAAACATGGCTTTTTCCGCCCAAATAAAGGGACACCACCATTTACAAGGCAATGTTCAGATGTATAATGTAAGGATCATTAAGGATCCCTGGTATACACTTTGGCGCATTTGCTTGGATATTAGGACTTTAACTTGTTGCCAACTAATGGGTTTTCCACTAAACTACTAAAAGTTAAGCTTTTAGCAGGGGAGCAGAAAGCAACAGAGTATATGTACACTTGCCTGGGCCCTGTATGATGGGATGGCGGAACTGCCCTCGTGGATCACGCCCAACGCCAAGCTGGTCTACGTACCCCGGCGTCAATTGGGGCTATCGAGCGATGCTGTTCTCAAGGCCGCGGTTGATTCGGTAGTCCTAGACTCTCCATGACCCTTGAAAAATGGGGTCATTGCCCAAAAGAAAGGGGTCATGACCCCTTTTTCTAGGGGGCACGGAGACTCTAGGTTCCCACTTTCTCAAAAACACAAATTGGGGGAGGGGTCCTTGGAGTTGCAATTCAATCTTCCCTTGGTTGGAAGGCCAGACAAATCAAGGGAAGTTTCTTCGATTTTCCCTTTGCTGCTTGGTTTAGTCCCCAGACAGATCAAGGGAAGTGGAGACAGATCCCAATCCGACAGAGGGCCCCGCGTTTCTGGCCTCGCACGATCTTTGGGGATTCGGTTCTACCTGCTGATGTGCAAAATTTGTCTGGCCTATCTTCCAGTAATATGGCGTCTAGCGCGGGGCGCTTCACGCGGAAATCGATCTTCCAGGTACCCTCCCACAGTTCTATGTTAGCGGGAGGGGGGGGGGGTACCATGCGATGAGGGATGCGGATGACAAGCCACCAAGAAACCGGTTGTGACACTGGGCTCATTGCTCTCACGGACCCGGCAGGGTTGAGTCAGCCCGTTGGGACACGTAAACAACCAGGTCGGCGACAAACTTGGAATCAATTTTCGCCCAACCTGGTAACCTGAACGACCGATCGACCCTGGGTTTCCCTAGGTAAGCAAGCAGATGGTCCAACAATTGCGACCTATGGACCGCAGTGCCCTAGGTGTCCAGATCGAGTGGCAAGGAGATGGATGTGGTGGTCAAGCGCATCTCAAATTCCCAGAAGGCGGCGCCTTGGAGCCGAGGAACTTTGGTCCAAAACCGGTCCACACTACGTGATGTGGGTGGGAGGGCGGGCGGGCGGGCGGGTGGGTGGGTGCTTGTATGTCTAGAAACCGGGCTTTTTTTTTTTTTTTTAAAAAAAAAAAAAAATACTTCCCGGATTTCGCCTGGGACCTGTTCCAAGCCCGCTGTTGGTTCTCTTTTAGTAATCTTTGAGTACTCTTTTAATATCCTATGGGGGTGGACCTACAAAAGCCACATCCAAACCATTTTCTAGAGATTTTATTAGGGCGCTCACCATGTTTTCTTGGGCCGGGTAGCAAATGCGAAGGCCGATAGCATCAATTCAATAGCACCCGCGCCAAGCGTTTGTTTCATATTCAGTTCGATTCAATACTATCATGGTGTTGCGTTGTTCAGTGACTATGCAGTACGCACTAACACGTTATTTGTTACTTGTTGTTCAATTATTTGTCCCACAGACCCCTAGCCCAGACGCCACAGCAGACATTTGACACTTCAGCCGGGCTGACTTACACCGCATTTCGTGCTGGTTTTGGCCTCGAGGACGGGGTCTGGTGAACCTGTAATGTGGTGTTTTGGATTGTTTTAAACATATCGTTACCCTCCCTCCAATCACAGAAGCTGACGATCAGAGCGTTCAGGCTACTTTCCTGTTGCGGACCCCCACTTCCGTGTTGGAACCCCTCCGCAATCACGCGGAACCCACCAGAGGGTCCCTTTAGAACGGTCCAAGCAAGAGTCCCTCCACGGTCTATGACACGCCCGCAGCCACGCTTCCATTTGCTGAAGTCTTGTTTTTGGTTTGTTTGTTTATCCCTTGTTGGTTTTAATGGTAGTCTATCACTACCGGAAATATTTCATTTGTTTCCAAGGGCTTAAGCCATGGTTCTGGCAGGGCTCCTTAAAAGAAAATAAAGTCATGTTGCAACCGTTTGAAAAAGAGGCTTTTTCCACCAACAAAAAGGGAAACCACCATTGACAAGTTGCAATGTTCAGGTGTACAATGTAAGGATCCCTGTTCTGGGAAGGGAAGTTTCGGCACCTAAGGCAGGAACATGATTAATACCCCCCCCCCCCCTTCAAGGTCGACAAGGTTTGGACAAGTCCCCAAAACTGAGATTTTCGGGAGGGTTTGCCTCGAAGCCATCATTCCTTTGGTGCATTTTGCCAAGGGAAATTGGGGACTGAATAACTTTTTGCCAACTAAGAGGGGTTTTCAAAATTAATCCACTAAAAGATAAACTTTTAGCAGGGGAGCAGATTTTGCAACCTAACTTTTTGCCCACTAAGAGGGGTTTTCCGTATGAAACTAAAAGTTCGTCACTTCGCAGAAAGCCCTGATTCATCTCGATGCGGTCCTCGTCCTGCTTTCGGCCCCTTCCCGGAGCAGGCTGTGCCAAGAGCAAAAGGATGTTGCTCCTGGATTTTTCTCGGGGGCGTCTTTACTCGGGGGGGGGGGGGGGGTTAGGAGGTGCCCCCCAAAAAATGAGAGGGTGCTTTTTTTGCCAAATTTTGTGGGCGCCTTTAAAGTAGTATTGGCTGGCAGTCGGCTAGGAAAACCGGGCGTTTTTAATCAGAGGGGGTCTACGAATCACGTTCTGACATTACTAAGCGACTCTCACTTCCCGAGTTTCTGGACTTTAAGACCTTTTCATGAAGACCACATGTCAGTGACAAACGAAAAGTTCTTAGACTTTCTTTTGGCCCATCCACTCAGGAAGTGAGTGACAAAGTTGTTATGGGCGATGGGACTTCCCAGATTCAGCTCTGAGGTGTGCCTCCTCTTCGGCCCGCGCACCCAGGGGACAGCGGGGCTTTCGGGCGTCGGTGGGCCTGTGCCAGCTGGTGGCTATGAGCATGGTTGTTGTTGGGACACATTTTTTGGTCCCATTTTTGCTTCTTGTGGTTTAGTGGTTGAAGTCCAACCACTTAACTGCTAAAATTTGTTTGAATTGTTGCTCCCCAAACCCAACGTCAACCAATGCCCAGACACCCAGGGGTGCCTTTGGAGGGATTGCCCCGCCACGGGATCTGAGCCAACGCCATTCCACATCCACCTTCCCTTTGCTGCCTTTTGCCAAGGGCTGTTAGGACTGAATAACTTTTTGCCAACTAATGGGTTTTCCGTATCAAACCACTAACAGTTAGTCACTTTTAGCAGGGGAGCAGAAACCAACCGAGTAAAAGAAACAAGGGCTCAAGGCCTGTTTGGCGGGCGTCAGAAAGGTGCAACCTTGGCAATCGGCCATACATGTTCTGAGCATTCGCAAGGGCACCTGAAAAAAACATCGAACCGAATGTGAAAGCCGCACGGAACTGTCACGCATCCTTTTCGAATCTGGTCTGCTTGGACAGGACCCTGTCAGGGCTTCCTCCATTTTTGGAACCTCCAACAGCGGCGATCGTTTCAATGGAAACAGTCAATTGCAACTTTCGAAGGCGAAATCCAGTGACCCCTGCCTGTTTGGGGTCCCAATGCTTTGCGAATTTCGAGGAATTCGACTTCTAGATGTGGGGCAATGGCCATTTTGGAGGTGGGTTCCCATAGTCAAGCAATCAATTTCACTGAGGAACCTCTTGCTAGGTCACCTTTTGAAATTGGATCTGCAAATTGAACTGGAATTTGCAAAAAAACAGACGCACACTAGACTAATTGGGGTCTCCTCCCTGGTTCTTGTTGAAGGTTACTGGGAAACCCCTTCAATACAACAAATCCACCATTTGGGTTGACTGGCCCATGAGAACCCAACGGACCATTTGCATCGAAGGGTTGCTAGGCCCCCAGCTAAGTGCCCTTCTCTCCCCTTTTTTGGTTGGGAGGGAAACCCCCTACTAAAATAGACTTAAATAGACTACCGAGGAAAAATCAAAAAAAAGGTTGCTCAAAACTGGAGGACCTAGCTGGACTTTAGGAAGACTCTCAGCAGGGTTTCATCCAACCCGACGGCAAGATTTCATCCATCCTCCTAAAGGGGGCGCCAAAAAAAGAGGCCGTTCCGCCCGTAGGGAAGAATGAGATGCTCGTTCCCTTCAGTCAGATCCTGGAAAAGAACCCCCTGAAGCTTCGAGACCTCGAGGAGGTCGAGGAGCTTTGGGGTGGCTTCGGTGTTGCCGCAGGTCAGCTCCCTGGGGAAAACTTGACTGCTATTGGGTTGGATCTTTAGACTTTAGCCTTTTGGTTGAAATCAAGTTGGGCTTTCCACTAAACCCCCAAAAAGTTATTTACTTTTTGCAGGGCTCCTCAAAAGATGCATTTTGCAACCAATTGAAACATGGCTTTTTCCAGCAAAATAGAGGGACACCACCATTTACAAGTTGCAATGATCAGGTGTATAATGCATCCGGATCCCTGTTTTTGTTGCAGGGGGGTCGTTGCAGCAACCAAGAAGAAAAAGCACAAACGCAGCCTGAATGTAGGGGATGTACTTCTTTTGGGGGGTTGTAAGCTTCTTTCGGGGTGATGGTTAAAGGGAAGCGTGGCGGGCCCTTGAAGAGGTGGGGCAAGGGACCAAAGAAGACCGGCTGATAAGTCGAACTGAGCAGTACCAGGTCAATGAGTCGCCTGTGCGCGAAACATACTCAGCACTACATTGTCCAACGAGATTTGCAAAAGCCGTCTTCGTGGCCCCTGGAAAAACTGTTTGAACTGAGCAACTTTGATCAACTTTGACTGAGAGGAACTCCTTGGCAATCTTCAGTGCCTTGTTCCGACGAACGATTCACTGCAAATCTTAATTTGAGAGTCAGCGATGCAGCACTGTACCCGGGAACCCTGGGCTTTTTACTGCGTTCCCGTCAAGTTTGGGTTTCGGGGCTTCCGGTTGGCCTCTACAAGATAATGCTTTCGGCTGTGCTTCATTTGAAAAAAGTTGGTACCCTTATTCTAACCTCTCTACTGGAGGAGCTAGGTAAACAAGAAAGATTGGAGCCCATCAAGCTTCCTCCCGTGCTCTTTGGCGACGCAGTCGACCAGTTCCAACGGATCAGGACGAGATGGAGAAGTTCTTCGAGGCCACCGAAGGCTTGGATCGCTCGTGGCTCCGCAACTTTTCCGGCGGCCGAGGTGCCCATGCCTCGAGTAATTCCATGTGCGGTGAAAAGAAAATGTGGATTTGAACGGGGATTTGTCACTGGTAGATTTCTACATATGGCCGTGGCTCAAACAACCGGTACCAAAATGGAACCCTGGTAAGTGGAAACATGGACCAAAACCTGCGTAACCCCTCCTGTTTAATTTTGAGCCACACCCATATGTGTTGAAGGTTCGCCTCTTGGCTTTAAAGGGCATCACTGGACATCCGAATAGTTGTGTTCAAGGGGCTGAAGCAAGTGGAGGAAGTTCTTCCATGGCCTCAGCAGCCCTGACCTCTTCCTTGCATTTGGAAGTTTGTTTAATAATCAGTTTACGACAACGGTCTTCCAAAACGTGGGTCCAGAAAGTGAGGAAGTGAGTTGTTTGTTTTGGGTGACCCCAAATGGTTCTGACATGGAACCAACAAAGCACCTCCCCCATTGCCATCCTGAATAGGCAACAAAATGCATGCTAAGCCCAATAGGGGAGGGTTTCAATTTAAGAATCAGGCAACAACAAAACGCTGCCCGTTTGTCCCATGGCCACTGGGCGTTTAGTAGAGCAGGTACTTGCTTCCCCCCAAAGAAGCCATCGGCAAGAAAGACCTGCTGGATGGCGCCCAAGGGGTTACCAGCGTCACCCATGATGACAGCTCCTTTAAGAAGGTTCCGTTATTGTCGGCTTGTGTTCTTTTGACAACTCACTTTTTGTTTTTGCTGCGAGGGCCGCAACGGCCAACACCTCTTCAGCTTCCTTTTGTCCCAACTGGCCGGCCAACTGGCCAGGTTGAACCCCCCTGAGTTTCAGGGCTGGATGCTTCGGGATGGTGAGGGGACGGGAAGCCATGGAAGCCTGAAAAGTCGCACGCAGCCCAGTCCTGCCTCGGGATGGTGAGGCAAATGGTTCGACAAAGCTGAGAACCTCGATCCCAAGGCCGGTTTTCACAAAGCCAAGAGACCAAGAGGTACCACTGCCCAGTGGCAACCGCGGTTTTCGTGTCGCCAGATAGCTGAAAGCTATAGGGGTTCTAACTTCTAATAAAGAGGGGAAAGTGATTTGCGAGATTGATGGGCTGTTGCTCGGGGGCGTGCAGCAGTTTGGGGTGCTGGTGTAGGTGCTGATTGGGGTGCTGATTGAAACCTTCAACAACACCACGCACACACACACACACACATGCACACAGAAGCTGTCAAGGGACCTTTTGTTCAGAAGCCTTCAAGGGAGAAGAAACTTGAAAAAAATGATGTTCCAAACAGCTCTCCGCCTCTCCCTAAAGATGGCCCCCCCCGGTGGGAAAAAGGGGCAGCCTTTCTTTGCCGGTTTCCAAGAGAAGTCCTGCTCCCCCCAAAAAAATACACCAGCACAGACCCCAGATAGCAGTGCTTGCCCGAAGAACGCCCCAAGCAAAATCCTGCATCACCCCATCGTAGTAGGCTTCCTGCGCGTGCCAGGGCATCATGCTGCAAGCACTGTCACTCAAGCTTTTGTCCGTCAGCCTCTCACACACAGCTCCCCACAAACTGCGCCCCACAGCGCCATCAGCACCAGCGCCCCAAACTGCGTTCCCCTAAGTCAAACCGTCAAGACGCAAAAATGCGCGCGCGCGCCTGCACAAGCACCCCAAACTGCATGCCCCTACCGTCAATCTTGAAAAGCTGCGCCCGCACTGCCATCAGCACCTCATTTCCTGGTTCTGGTTGAGACCCTTGTTAGAGTTGGGTGTGCATTGGCCTGCTTACTTGCAGGCCTACTCATACTCGCCATTTCCGGACTCGCCTAAGGCTTATGGTTTGGGGTTTGCCGCGGTTTTCCTTCTTGCCCTCCTTCTGATGAATTCGGGCAAGGAGGATCACCCCTTCTTTTTGCCTTTGCATACGACAAGTTTTCATTGGAGCTAGGAAACCTTGAGGGGGCTGCTCTCAAAGCCTTGGAAGAAAGGCATACGTAAAAAAGCTCCAAAGCGCAACATGAAACGAAGCCAATAGATGCCTGGATTTGGGCTGAGCAGCCCGGAGAAGCCTCAAATCACAAATAGTAGCAGGGCTCAGCAGCCCGAAAGTAGGGCTCAGCAACCCGAAACCTCAAAAGACCTCAAATTCTAGCAGGGCTCAAACCTCACAAGCCCTCAAATAATTTGTAGCAGTTGCTGCTGCCTTGGAACGAGTGCACTTTTCCGTCCTCTGTACGGTGCCCCCCCCTCCCCCTCCCCCTCCCCCTCCCGCCCCAACACGGGACCTCCCTGCCACCCGACGACCGGAGGTGCGCCTCGGCAACGACAAGGGCAAGTTCGCCTTTCAGGGCCCCACCGCGCCGCCCATGATGGAGATCCAGAGCTGCCCGGCAGGTTTCCGTAGCTCAGATGGCTAGGGGCCAATCCCCTTGCCATACATCCGCCTACTTTATAGCGAGCTCAGCTGGGGGTAAAACGGGCTCACCATGAAGAAGTCCCTTTATTTGGGATGCCTGAATTCAGCAATTGGAGGTATAGCAAAGAATGCAGATACATGGGTGCGGATAAAATTGGGCCTTTTAAATTCCTGAAGGATGTCTTTTGGGCCATTTTAATACCGGGTTTTGATTATGTCTCAGATGGAGACATCAGGCCCCTGGTCTTGGCAGGCTCCCCACGAAAAAGTGGAACAAATGACTGAATCAACCGCAAAGAGGCAGGCTTCTTGGGCTCACATGCCATGATCTCATATATTTTGCAGGTTGATTACATATGGACCAGGGTCTATACATGCTTAGGCCCGAGTGCTGAGGTCGACCACCTCCATGACGGGCAAACTTTAGCGAGAGCCCTTAGGGTCGGTCTACAAAAAATCCTTCCGACTTTTGTGTTTTCCTTTTTTTCGGCCCCTTAGCCTCCCAAACCTACGCACCCTGGACCAACCCTTAAGGGTAGAATTAACATCAGTATTTCACGGGCTTTTAATTTGAATGGGTAGGTGGGGTACTTTGCAACTGTCATTTGCAAGGACATAATTTGTGTCTGTGGTTGTGTGCTGGTTCAGCACTTGCGTTTTGCTGGGTCGTGTGGTTCCCCGGGCTTGTATTGCTCTCAGGGAATCTTCCATCCGTTTCCCACAATCAAAACAGCAGGCTTTCTTGAGATGATGGTCGTTTTCCAAGCCCCTCGCGTCGGTGGGGGGGGGGACGACATGGTTGTTTAACTTGCCCTTGCGTTGCCCGCAAATTTGCGGCCCGCGCCCTTTTGGATGATGTCAAAAAGGCACGCTTCGATCGAACACAACCACCATTGTACAAGCCAGACAGACGGTCCATGCCGAAGCCCAAGGCAGCCCAGAATCGGAGCCGGAAGAAAGGCGCGGAATTGTTGTCCGCACGCATTTGTCAAGGAGCAGCGTCCAACGCCCACCAAAAGGGCGCAACTTTGGGAGGTTCAAAGAATGACCTGGTGTCAGGGCTGCATAAAGTTAAGTATTTTGGGAGAACCAGTTTTGTTGTTTCTCAAATGAGAAGAGCAGCTGTCAACATGTAGGGACATCTGTATCGGAAGGAAATGACATGCCGGCAAGATTCATTGGATTCATCAAAGAAATTGTGTTGGGGGACCACAAGCATTGACTGGCTCAAGGGAAGAAAATCTGGTGCCAGATGTTCTTTTCAAACCGAGGGGAGTCAACGAAATGGGGTTTCCGGGAATATATGGTTGACATATCTTTGGAGCACATAGCTAGTGTCCCTGAATCGAACCTTGAGTGGAGGCAAGCTGTGTCAAGTTTGGCAGGGACACATGAGCAGTTATGGCCATTTGCCACAACTCACTTCCTGAGTTTCTGGACTTTTATAAACTTTTTGGGAAGATCATTTTAGTGGTAAGCAAACACCTGGATCGCCAGTTGCTGCTTTCGTCCATGAACTTTACCCCAGAAACCGGCAACAGTGACTGAAAAAATGCAGCAGCTTGGCCATCTAGGCAGTTCAGACTTTTGTTGGGTCATCCACTCAGGAAGTGAGTCGTCCAGCGTGTAGCGTGTGCCCGCAGCCACGCTCACCAGTCACATGGTGTACCCATGATTCACTTTGTGTGATTTGTACCAGGACGATGGAAAGACGTGTCCGTCAACCATCGAACATAACAAAGGTCAGCTTGAAAGGGTCCACACGATGGACTCGCTAGGTCCAAAAGAAGGGAGGTGCCTCAGAGGGGACATGAGTGTCCCTTCGTGCTTGCTGGATGATTCCCTCTCTCGAATGGGCCGAGGGCTTATGTTGAGTCCCCCAAAATGGGGTGTGAAAAGAACATATTTTGAGGCCCCCAAAATGTTCGTCGATCGGAGCCTTAGGGAGCACACCGTGTTCCGAAAGAGGTTTGCACTTGGAACAAGTGCGTTGCCAGCGCCTCGGACAGCAACTCGTTGCATCGAGTTTCCCCAGCCAGTCACCCTGCGTTGGCCAGGAGGCCAAAGAAGGCCAAGCTGGCTGAAGATGGCATTCCTCCGCTGCAGGAGAGGGTGCAGAAATCAGCATGAGCTTTATTAGTTGCACCCCAATCGATTTGATTCACACGGGGTGGTGGGGTAGTTTCTATCCTAGAAGGGACTGATGTAAAGATGGGCTGTTGTGTTGCTTGGCGCGCCTTTTCAAAGCGATCTGGGGGTCCTGTGATACATTTTGGTACCGGAAAGTGGCTTCCATGTTGGGCTTTGGAAAAACGGCTGCCGCTTGAGCCGAAATGTCCGCTCGCCTATAAGGACCTGAGGGACAAAGGCAGCGCCTGGTCTGATCCATTGCCTACTGTGGATGGACGAAATATGACGAAATCCTGCACCACCTAGCAAACCCTGAAAATATGATTCCCCCTGTAACTGCCAACAAGAAAACGCTTTTTCTCATGGATTCCAAGTGGTGCAGGTTTTCGTCCATCCGCAGTAGGAGCGTCCGGCGTGTGGAAGTGAGCGTGTCTGTGTTTCGTTCTTTGTTGGTGTTTGTGCGCTCTGATGTCGTTTGTAAGGTTGTCTTCGAAGAAGCCTCGTCACTGAGCCGTCACAGACCAGCCCAGGTAAAAAGAAAGGAAGGAAGGAGGCAAAGGAGAAAGAGACCCAGGCGAAGGAGCCCAAGACGTCGAAAGAGAAGGAGAAATCGAAGCCAAAGGAGAAGGACGCCAAGAGGGAGAAGGAGCTCTCAGATGTGTTGAGTGAGTATGAGGGAGTTGGTGACGTGGTGATGGAATTATGATAGCAAGGTACACTTGTTTGGGGTTGGTGTGAAGGGAGATCAAAGGAAAACTATCCACGTGTGTGTGTGTGTGTGTGAAGGCGAGCCCTATTTTGAGGCAGCCTCCAAGCAATGGTTTGTGGGGGGTGGTTCAAAACTCGCGCCTCTCTTTCTGGAGACTCTTGTGACCCCAAGCAAACAAGAGGCGCTGGAAAGACTTTCATGTCGGAAACCAACTTGTTTGGAGCAACCCTCACCTGTCGCAATTCTGCAGGAGAAGGTAAAGAAGTCCAAGAAGGGTGAATAGACAAACTTCAGTAGAGCCCTGTGCCCTGGTTTCATGTTGCTTTGCTTGGGAAGTCCACACCATTGTCAGCCAAGCAGATGCGGCGTGGGCGCCAACTAGCTGAGGGCCGGGGACCCATCGTGATTTGTGCGCGGAATGTGGCATCTCACCCGGCATGAGGAAAGATCGTCTGTGTGCCACACTGCGCTTTCTCCAGAAATGAGGCTTTGCCTTTGTCCCCCATTTTTTTATAGCAACTACAAAAGGGCACTTTCAGAGAAAGACACGCTGGTTGGTTCCGTCGCTCTTCTTTTGCAACCTTTGTTCAACTGTTGCTTGTTGGGGCTCCCTCCACCCGTTTCCGATTCTTTGAGG